TCAGCGATGAATAAAATTACTCGAACATATGCTGCAATGCTAGTGAAATGTATGAAAACATTGATAAATAGTAGCTTTATCAATAATTTGTAGATATTTTACCACATTATAGTCTTTTGGAAATATGATTGAAATTTTAAAATGTCTAAAATCAGTTGTTAAAATTGTTTTATTTAATACTTTAAAGGTATCGGATAAAAGTTTCTGAAAAATATAACAATTAATCTGAGTATTAATTCTCAATTATTGCACAATTTACTATCAATCAAATAAGCCACAGTTCAAGTGTCCGGACCCAAGCAGACAGTAATTATCAGAAAAAATAAGCTCTTTGCTCATAAATATTATTAGTGTTTATTAATGTTGGACAAAACTTCAAGAATTCAAATAAACTAAGCAAAAATAAGGTTGAATTCAAATAGGTATTCATTTCATTTTTTGGGATACAGGCCCACAAAGTAATGAATTTTTTTCAAATTGATTCCAATTTATTTATGCAAAATTGAAAATAAATATCATAATCAGGGTAGGATTCATGTTTTTGGAATTTAAACTCGGCGATTATTAATTTTAAAACCCGAAGATGACAAACAATTCCCAAACACAGTTTATTTCAAAATAAAATAAATCTTCCGCTTGAAGTTTTAATAAAATAAAACAAAACTGCACAACTGATCAGTCTAAACCGCAAAAAGTCAATTGTTTCGAGCGGAAGTGGCGAATGTTTATTCAATGACGGCACGCATATGCGAAGCAAAGAAAGGGTTACGACGCGTTGCAGTTTATCTGCGGCGAGGCACATAATCGTGATGATAATTGCCACGACGATCGTGATGCAAATAACGCTCGTCCGCACGTCCATTATCGCAGCCGACGGCCGGCCAGCGCACAAAAGAGCTCTAATTTATGAGGGCATTTTCCTATCAAGCCTCCTTTCCTTGATTGCATCTTCCCTTCGAGCGCTGAATAATTTACAGCACTCAATTTTCGAGCCTCTCCAGAGCGCCAAAGACTTGGAAACAAAAACACACTCCAGTATTATGCGGAACCGCTGCTCTTTTCTTTGATGTTGCGAATTTCGCTTTTTGCCACTGCTTTTAATTCTCCGCCGTCCTTTTGGGCTTTGTCAGCCTGTTAAGTGCAGAAGAGCGCTCGGAAATAAGGACTTGCACATCTGGGGCTGAATTCTACTAACTAAATATAGATACTTTTTGGGTCTGAAAAGTAAGAGAATGGAAGACAGAAATCTCGTCAACCCAATACCTCCTACTCCATAAATGCCCAACAGACCTAACTTTCAAAATTTACCACTAAAATTTGCTTTTGACGTTAATTTTGTCAGCTAGGTCTAGGTAGTCGTGGTAATTTTGCATGGTCTTCTTGGACTACAAGTGTCAAAAAAACTCACGCTGTTTAGTCCAACTAGACCATGGAAAATTACCACGACTACCTAGACCTAGCTGACAAAATTTACCAACAAGGGATGAAAAAAAAACACATTTTTATTATTTTTTTTTTATTTTCGCAGAAAATAAATAAAAAAATATGGACAATAATTACAAAATTATCCAGAAAAACTCCTTTTTACATAAAGAAATTTAAAATCTGAACTTCCCCAACTCCAACTTTCACCCAACCATCCTTTTTCGTAATATTTTTTTCTCAATTTCATTGGTTCTCGGCATTGTTCTTCATCATCGCGTGGACAATTATTTGAGGATATACCGGCAAAAATTATCAATTTTAATTTAAGTTTAAAAAAAAATTAAACGAAAAATTAAAAATTAAGTGGTGCCTTTCGCACCACTAATAAAGGCCAACAAGACATTATCTCGGCCTGACCCTGAAAATAAAAATAAAATTATCTGTTATTACTTATTAAATTCTTAATATCTTTATCTTTCAAATAGGACTAAATGGAGTGAGGAAAATGTAAATTTAAAAATTATCAAAGGCAAACAAAAATAAGCGCATGAAATTTAAATTACTTTCAGAATAAAATGGATAATTTACACTGTAACGTGGAACATTTATTTACTTTTTAAAACAAAAACATTTTTACTTTATGGTGAATGTGTGTCAGACAAAAAGCAGCCTAATATCAAACGTTAAGCATAATTATATTATTTTTCAACAAATAAACATAATGTTTTAAATTCAAATAGAAATTTAAATAAACAAAACAATAAAGAGGGTATTGTAAAATAATAATAAATTTTTATAAAAAATGTTTTAGCCTAAGTTTTAGATTGGCTTACCTCAACAGTATTTTAGAGTGGATCATTGTTTTGTAGAAAAAAAGCAATATCTTGCTCTAGGAGAAAACGACTAAAAAAATAAATAATTCAATCAGGAAAAAAGAATCAATCGTCGATGATCATGCAATTCTTCCATAGTTCAGGGCTTGATAATAAGAGTTAAAATAATCTTTATATTTTAAAAAATATTTGCATAATTTTTTTCCAGTCATTATTTTACCGTCTGCGTGCGATTTTCATTAAATTTGGATGAGAAGAAAACATTCCGAAACGCAATTAACAGTCCAAGCAAGTGCGAGCTAATTGCAGGCCAAAGATAAACACGAGAGAGAGAGGAGCAGCGCAATCCGAGAGCAAACGGCGAAGACACGACAAAGAAAATAATTTTGCCGAGCTCGCGAGCAGCAGATTCAATTGTAGGATGAATGAACGCCGTCAAGTGCGAACATTCAGCCTCGCCGGGTACATTATTTCCCGTCTTGTCTCTGTCCGGATGAGACTTTGGTATTCATGGATTTGTGCAGTCGGCCGCCGGCAGCACACGCGGGGCCGATTTCTGCGATGATTGGAAAAGCCGAACGGCGGAAATAATCGGTCTGTCCTGCGGGCCGCCGCCGCGGCAGCTTTTCCGAGCCGAGATTATGGCAAAGAGTGGCGAGTTGATCATGCGGCCGGAGCCACGTAGGTGTAAAATGCCTTTGATATCGAGCAGTCCCTGCGAAATCGCTTCTTCTTTTGAGTTCACGGCCGGAAAGGACGCGCGCTGTGGGCGAAATTCTGCTCCGCCGTATCCGAGAGCAAAATTTGCGGCTGCAACTTGTGCGGCGTTGACATGAGATGCGGGCGGAATTTTTTAATCAAAATTTTGTGCCTGTGCCATTATTTAGAAATACGAAACACCAAAAACGGGAATAAAAATATTTATGCATTAATGAGAAATTATTTTTAATAAATTAATATTTCAGTCTGACGTACTCAAAATGATACTTATTGATATCCAAGGAGGCTCGAGCAATTTTCCCATAAGAGTTAATAGCATTTATTAATGGCGTAAATTAACTTAATGCTAGGGTAATGGTTAACTTTTATGTCATTGAACACGCAAATTTTATTTTCCAGCATTGTTGAGCTATATTTAAAATGTAAATTTTAAAGTTTTGAGTTAAAACTTTAGGGCAAAATTTTCTTCTCAATTAGGAAAACGTAAAAATTCCCATAAAACGCAATGTTAAATTTCAAAAAGGTTAGAGAGTAATTCCTTGGCCTTCATATTTCTTCCATGGAATCATCTAGTGTGGCCAAGCATAAAAAAAATACGTTTTAAAAGATTCGGTTTGAAATTTATCAATAGGGAGATGTTACAAGATTAATCATAATATAGAAAGAGAGAATTTAATTTTTATGATTTCTGCGAAAGCAACAAGAAGTGAAAATAAAGTTTACATTGAAATATTATGCAAATTAAATAAATTAATATATTAATTACTTACAAAATCAGTCAAAATTTAAAATCATTGCTATTTCACTGCAAGCAATTTCAGTGAAAAAAAATTATACAATAATTGTTCAACACAGTTCGACAAATTTTCTGATAAGAAATCATTAAAATATAAATAAAATAATTATTATTAAAATTTTTTAAATATAAAATTAAAAAATTGAAATAAATTTAATATATAAATTTTAATTTATTTTCTTAATTCTATAAGATGTATATGTGAATTTAGATATTTATCGTGCATCGTGAAATTCACAAAACGATGTCATGCTTGGAGTATTGACCTCAAACTGATAATACAATTTAAACATTGAATAAATTATAAATTTTTTCAGTAAATATTTTTAGAACTTTTTAAAGGAGACCATAGGACGAAAATAGAATAGAAAACTATTATTGCATGTATTCAAAAGCTTTAATAATATTGTAAAATGCTTAGTAAAAAGTGAAGTTAATAAATTATTTAAATAATTTAAAATAATAACAACAACAAAATAATCATCATTTATGAATAATAATAAGAATAATACATACATGTTTATTGATATTTAAAATAATAAAATACCATAACTTCTACTTGTCATTTTCAGGCTTTTTCTTGACCGAAATGCAAGCAACTGGTTTTTTTATTCGGAGTTTAAACCACAGGAACTATTAATATTATTAATTATTCTCAATCAATACAAAAAAACTGCAATATTTAAAAATTTGAATCCTCAATTTGCTTCATATTATTTAAAAATCTAAAAAGTAGAGCACACATGAGGTAGACGCAGAGAACTGCACGCTTATCAAAATTTAAGACCGACTCGCAGCAACTTCCTTCCACTTTTAAAGTAATTTATTATCACTGTCCCCTAATTTTAAATTTCCAAGTGCCTTTTCGTTGCCCCACTTTCAGGTCACAACCTTTTCCACAAAAATATTTGAGGTCAAAAATTTTATAACAAGATTAAAATGCGAATGCAGTCAAATGCAAGAATAGAAGAAAACTTTTCCAATCGAAAACGTAAATCAAAATCTCCGTATAAACAAATAAAAATGATAATTCGTGCTGGACAATAAATAACCAAGCAGGTTTCTCGCTCGTTATATAAGAAAATTCACCAAGAAAGCATAAGAAACGCTGCAGCGTTGCATGCCGCGAGCGAGAAAAGCTATAGTTTTATTCGCCCGCAATCAATCCTCGTTCTCGACGGGCAAAAACGCGCACGCCGCGCAAATCAAACTTAATGTTTACTCACCAGAGAAAAGTGTAGAGAGAAGAAAAACTGGCACGTCGATGATTTTCTCCGAAAGAACGTCCTCTTGGTCGAAAGAATGTCCGCGAATAATTGGTTGATGAAGAGCCGAGTCGGTTTTGCACAAATATTCACGCAGCACAGGTCGAAGGTCCCGAAAGAACTGAGCGGCGGCGAGGCGAGGGAGTGGTTTCGTGCCAGCAGCACACGCGATCAGGGGAGCGAAGGATGGGAAGGACCGCGCTAGGAGGAGGAGGAGGAGGGATGGAGTGTGTGCGGGGGGTGCATGGCACTCGCTGCCTCTGCCCATGGTCACCTCTGCATTCTTTACCTGCGTTTGCTCTCAAGACATTGAGGAATTTCCTTTTTTGCTTTCTTTCACCCACCGAACGTGTTCGTGCGTGTTTCTCTCGCCGGTCGATGCTCTCCTCGCTGCTGCTGAATGAATTCAGATTTCCTCCTTTCGTTTTCTTTATCGCTCATACCTTCCCTTCCGCACACGCTCTTTTCACTCGGGACTCTATATACGCGCGCCCTTTTTTCTTTTTAGATATTGTCTTCATTCTTTGTGTATGTTCCTGGTCGACAACTTATTCTTATTGTATATTCACTGGTTCAAGCCATTGTTCACATTCTTGTGCATGTAAATCGTGTTTTCTTTGTGGGGTTTGAGCGCCGTAAATTAAATCGCAACCATTTTTGAACGGATAATTTTATAATTTTTTGCATTATTTGGTTCCGAATGTTTAAAAAAGTCAGCTAATGAGGCAGTACGAAAAAGAATTCACAAAAAGTGATTTTAGCTTCAAAGGTCAAAGATAAAAATGCCGTTTTTTGTTTCAATAAAAAAAAAAACTACTGAAGTTTAGGATTATAATAAAAATTATTGAACTATTTATATTCAATTCATTTAATTTATATTCTCTCAAAACCTGTTAATTTTATTCTTCATAGCAATCATAGCCAATAAAACATCTTAAAATTTCCTAAAAATATTAAAATAATTCTAATATTGATGCAAAAATTACAAATCTTTTTCCTATAAAAAAAAAAAATCGAGTCAAATATTTTTCGACCACGTATAGTAAAAATGACATAATTTGTAATGATCTGTTGTCTTGGAAAATTGTAGAGAGGAATAAAAAAAAATATTAAAATTACCTTTGTTTGAAGAAGCTGACACTCGAGCCACTTGAGGAGATGATCATGGAAATGAAGAACCCCTTTTATGGAACTCCTTGCCAAATGAATTAAAAAATTTAACAAACAAAAATGATGTTAAATAAAAAAAAATAAATTGTTTTTGCACCTGAATCAAAAAATATTATAAAAAATGTGTAATAATGTGCACTAAGTGTAGCAGCTTGAGGTCATCAGTCAGAATGAGCACCAGCCGATAAGCCTTCGCGCTTAGCTGCACTTGTAATATTTGAAACAATAAATATCTTTTTTTGAATAAAATAAAAAAAGAGATCAGGCTTTTTCGCAGACCGTGACCGAAACTGGTCAGCCATTTGTTTTTGAGTTAAAAACAATTCTTCTGCAACGAGGAAAAGCCTGATCTCTTCATTTCCATAAAAATAATAAATTTAATTATATTTTTAATAAACCAATAAATATTAAATTCTCAAATTTATTTTATAAATTTTCGTTGATTAAAAATATTTAATTTGATATTGTTGCAAGCATGAACTATTAATGTGATCGATAACTACCACTTTTATTTTATTTTTACGAAGGAAAACATTTCCATGTTTTGCCGCAGCTCTAATAAACGAGAAAATAATTAACTGAATCGATTCGTGTCCTTTTTGTAACTCACCGAAAATTCTCTCTGTGTTCGCGGACTGTTGGTTAATTACAATTGATGAACCCGAAGCTTTTACCTTGCAAAAACACAGAAAAGCAGGCTAGGGCTTGTTTCGCTGTTTTCAAACAGAAACACGCGGGTTGTTTTTGTCTCTAAAAAGGGGAAAATTCGAGATAAAAAAAAGCTACTCTAATGAATCATTTTAATTTCCACGCCTGTGGATGTGACCTTTAAAAGCAACCCTAACGTTGTCAACAAAAAAATATAGAATTATTTCAAAATTGTTCATTGTGTAGAAGTACAAAATCGTGTTTAATTTTGGTGAATTTTAATATGAAATTTTCTTTATACTTACCATCTGCCTTGTTTCTTGCAGCGGAGTTTGCTTTCAATGCAATATTGCACAGAAAAATTTAATAACAAAAAAATTGGCCAGCCGCCGGCGTGAAAAATAAAATAAAATTACACACTACTTTCAGTAGTGAAAGCGCAGAAGTCACTGTTCTTGCGCGCGATAACAAAAAAAAAATACAAACAAGGGAAGTGATATGAGTTTATTCCCCACTTGTAAAAAGAAGTCAGCGCCTCGCTTCTCCGCCGTTTTCTTTTTTAACAAAAAAGCAACAATATTATCAAAACGCCGTCGGTCTGCTTTCTTTCCGAGGCAATTTTGAAAATGGAAGAAGCCGCGAAAAATTGCAGAGTTCAAGAACAATAAAAGTAATTTTGCAAAGCGATTGAAAAAAAAGCAGCTTTTATCGAGCGCCTGCTGCTGCTTTTTGCAAAGGGTGATTTGCATGTCCTGCCTGCGCTATCTCTATTTTTTTTTATTTCCACGTTTAATGGTCCCGGAATACGCGACCGATGAGCGTGTTTTCTGCATAAAACCCACTGCAGCAGCTTCACAAGCATTACGTTGGCCGCAAAAATGTGGCAATCGCCAATTATTATTATTATTATTCTTTATTGACTTATGAGACGTCGCCACGATGGAATTACTCAATGCGACGCGCCCCATTTGCACTGCGAAATATTTGTTTAATTAGCAACAATTTTCCAATTCTCTCTTCGGCAAAGCGGTGTTTTAAAAATAATAATACCGTGTCCCAAAACAAACTGGTCACATCCATCCACACATCAAAAGATTTTAAATAAATATATGAATTTCCAAAATTCATAGACTAAATAATGAATCCGATTCAACCGCAAACGTGACAGATGTGTTTATAATGCGATTATTTTCGCATGTCGATCCGCTTAATTTTGTATACAGGTATTATTAAAGTCCTTTCACGCATACGCAAATAACGCTCGCATGGCAACAACGACAGCAATAATTTTGTAATTTTGTTTGTTTGCGCCAAGTTCACTGGCAAAAGTAAGTTATTCATTCTGCAGCAGCAGTTGATGCAAAGCAGGAATGAATTTATTGCTCAGCAGCAGCATTTCCTGCCCGGCTTTAAATAAAATATTATATTCCCAACAGCAAAGCAGTTAGAATATGTATCTGTGTGCGAGAATGTTTTGCTCTCGTTTAGGTCGGAAGAGCAAAGTAAATACCCGCTTTGCAAAGCGCAGCACGAACCCCATTGAATGATCATCCATATTTTCAACTCTTTTTCCAACAATGACGTTTTCTGTTTTCAAGCATCTAGCGAAAAATTTATTCTGCCCATGCATAAACGTGTACTTTTTTCAGGAAATATTAACAATAAATTTATTTCCACATAGTTCAAATTCTAATCGGTACTTGCTTGTTGCACTCACTCAGTTGCACTTATCAAAATTAAATTTGCCTGATTTTCCTCCTATAACAAATTGTTCCATATATTTGATATATTATATTTTATTATTTTTTCGTGGTATTAAAAACTTCAATTATAACTGGCCGTGCACTTGGGCTATTAATAAAAAAAGAGAATAATTTGGAAAATCCAGCTTGCCCTGATTCAAAAACTAAGTAAAAAGTCTTACAATCAATTCGTCCAGAATGTCACTATAAAATTTGTAATATTTATTTAAAATATAATTATTAGCACAGAAGGCGAATTTTTTATTCAATATTTTAAATGTTTAAATCATAAATTATTTTAAAAATAAAACTATCTTAGGCTTGATCATAAATCAACAAATTTAGCAAATTTAAAAGCTCCATTTCAACTACTGCATTATGTTGCTTGAATTTAAAAAGCTCTTGCTCAAGATTAATCGTGGACCGTTAATTGATGTTCAAACTTGATTGTCCTTTTAAAAAAACCTTTTTCGCAACTCAATCGACGTCCTGCAGCCGGCCAAATTGGCTCCTAAATCACCGCCGCCAATGAAATAAATCTTCCCTTCGACGCAGCGCACTGCCAAAGTGGATCAATTAAATTCCGGCACCCGTCGCTAACTAACTAAGTGCACATCAAATTGATGAATCCAATCCGGTGGATGCCGAGGGGCTGCCCCGACCGCAGGCATGGAGCGCTCTGGAATTTGCGAGCACAAAATCGCAAACAATAATAGCACACGCGAAACGGCTATGGTCATGCTTTTGCATAATTTATTCAGCTCAACTGCGCAGTTAGCAAAGTAATGGCAAAAATAATATGTTTCAAGTTGGCCTTTTGCGCGCAAATTGTTTTAGAAATCCCGAGAGCTTTTTTGTCCGAACAAAGCAAGATTTACGCTGCAATTTGTATCGGCAGAGAGACAGGGTGGGTCCGAATATCAGAGAAACGATTCTAGAAACGATTCTTGAGAAACGTTTCTCGAGAAATGATTCTAGAGAAACGTTTCTCGAGAAAAGATTCTCGCGCAAAGATTCTCCAGGATCGTTTCTGCTTTTAAAATTCAACTAAAGAATCGATCCTTGAGAATCCTTGCGCGAGAATCTTTTCTCGAGAAACGTTTCTCTAGAATCATTTCTCGAGAAACGTTTCTCGAGAAACGTTTCTCCAGAATCATTTCTCGAGAAACGTTTCTCAAGAATCGTTTCTAGAATCGTTTCTCTGATATTCGGACCCACCCACAGTCGAACGGTTTTAGTGCCATTTTTATTGCTACAAAACACACTGGCATTACCTAATTAATTCTCACTTGCTGATGGCATTCTACAATTTCTGTTTCCAGTGGCAACAGAGGCATTGAACTAAAGACAAAAGCGTATTTTATTTCATTATGTAAATAATCTATTCACAGAATATCTTCCGACGAAAGAGTATTTAAGTGAAAGCAAAATTTTATTGAAATTATTTTAAAGAATGTCTGAATAACATATTAAAATTTTTTAGGTTTCAAATTTTTGTGGACAGTTTAGAGAATAAAATTGCCTAGTTGAAATTTTACTATTTAATTTTATAAATAATTAAAAAATAAAAACAAATATAATTAAAATCTATATTTTTAAGTTTAATAAAACTTATTATATTAATCACAAATAATCTTAAATATTTTTTCAGATCATTTGGGGAGTCTTTGTAACAATAGTATTTTTATTATCAAAAGATCAAAGATCTCTTCAATTTTTTATTTCTTATTTCCTTTTCCTTCTGGTCATTTTATGACAGGGCCACCTTGGTCTAGCTCTTTATTTATGAAAACATCCTGCGTGCTCCACTTTCTCAGATTCCGGCCGCATTCTTATGAATTAAATAGAGTGCGTTTCTCTAGTTTGTCTCCCGCGAGAGAGAGAGACGCGCACCTCGTACGACCTCGGCCACAGTCCATTATGGAGATTACCTAGATAACGAACGTGCACCGCTCGTTTGGACGATCTGCTGACACACGGTTGGCGAAATTTTAGACAAACTTCGGCTATCTAATCTGCACAGGTGATGATAAAGTGGCGAATATCGTGAGACGTGTATAATGCAGCACGCGGACGCAACGGGCCCACTGATAACGAATGACGGCAGCTGAAAGTCACACGGGTGAGGTGATCGACTGCAATAGGAGATTCTTTGTTCGGGCCATCAGTCAGAAGAGTGATTGCTGATCGAGTAGGAAGTGGATATTAAAACTCTGCTTGTAAGTGGACCTTTTTTATTATGAAATAAGCATTTTATTAGAAAACTTTTCACTTTTATTAAATTATAACCAAAAGCCAAATAATTAATTACAAAAATTTATAATAAGCATCAAGTTAATGATAAATTTCTAAGACAGGTGGTAATAGTAATACACAGATTGAAAATTAAAACATAATTTATAATGTAAGTAATAAATTAATATATTTATACCATTTTAAATACTAACAAAATAAGTAGTTAAAAGATTTAAAAACGAAAATAAAGTGGATTCTAAAAATTGTTAACATTATAAATCAAATTAAACATAAAATCATATAGAATAATTAAAAAATTACTAGTTAATAAATAATTTATTTAACGTGAAAGAATTTTTTAAATAAATGTTTAAGATAAATATAGATTTTCAACGTCAGAGTCAAATAATAATTGTTGCTGATCTACCGCATTTACTTAAGATTGTCCTCTTATCTGAGCAAATGGCGATGCTCGATTTTTAACGTCACTCACTGCTTCTGTGCGCACCGCAATTCTCCCGCAATGAGTCAATCTGTTGTTGAAGGTGCGAGGACTGTGAAAATGCTCTCTGGCATGGCACGGCCGGCAATGGCGCTTTTGCTACTCGGCGCTTTTCAAGTGCACCAGGTACGTGAACCGACGAGTCAGCAAAATTATCGTGTTAAAATGTGTCCGCCTGATGTATTTTAGGTCCACTCTTATGTGGCAGCAGTGGTTGAATTCTCCCCCGACGGAATTACAGGACCCCTGGTGCCGTCGCTGATTTTCTCCAACAATCTGCGCCGATATGAAGAGTTCGTCGTTGATGCCAGGAAGACGGTCAGTGAAATTTCAAAACAGTTTCAAAGCAGTTTTAAAATTATTTTTTAAATTTATTGGGTAAAGTAAATTTAAGGAGAATGTATGGAACGGAGAAAGGGAAACTGACGTAATTGAATTTTTGCCTCGCCTAATAAGCTCACAAATGTGACGAGCGGAGAAGCGCAACCACGGCGCGGAATGATGTAATTTCCTCTTGGCTAAATGATTTTGTGCCAAAGCTAATTTATTCCATGTTACTATAGAGACAGAGTCCCTACAGCCTTTTTATTATGTTTCCGTGAGTGGTGCAAATATTAATAAAAAAAAATTATTTTCAGTATGCTGCGGACATAATCGTCTTTCCCGAATATGGCCTGACCACGACTTACACTTCCAACAACCGGTCTCTCGCTTTAGAGTTCGCACAGATAGTTCCTGACAAGAACGACAACATCATCCCCTGCACGGCCTACAACGACACATTTGAATATGAGGTAACGATCTATGCACGAACCGCACCATAATCCACCATAAATCACGACGCGGACGTGCCTTTTGTGCAGCGAGTTGCATTCAAAACCCCTTGCGTCGTGTGGGTTAGGCAATTTGTTGCACGGTCGTGCTCTCCGTGTTGCATACATTCGCTTTCTTGTTCGCCTTTCTGACACATTCCGCCCCTCCGCAGGCCGTCCGCCGGCTGTCTTGCATGGCCAGAGATAATGGAATTTACCTTGTGGCTAATTTGATCGAGAAGGTTGATAAGCCGGGAGCGGGAGTGCTGCTGCACAACACAAACGTGGCGTTTGATAGCGCTGGCACCGTCGTGTCAAGGTGAGTCGGGCCAACGCCATCCCCTTTGTTTCCGCGTAATTGATCGATCAGTGCGAGTTTGCAAGTCTAATTGGATTTTATCTTGCTTAATCCCGAGCTTGATGGCTTGCAATTTAAACCTGCCTCGAAATTTACATCTTAATTGGTGTAATTTTATTGCCATGCGGGCAGTCCTCACGACACAAAATAATCAGAATTAATTGCATGATTTTTTTCTATTTATAACATGCGGTTTTATTTAGCTTATTTTTAAGCTTGTGCTATTTAAGGTTTGAGATCAATGCAGGTCAAATTTTTTCATTGCACAAAATACAAAATTATTGCCCTTACCAAACGTGTATAGCAACCATAAACTCTGGAAATAATCTGACCGCAAAATTGTTTCCGCCCCTCACTCTTATTTTTTGCACCGAAGAAAAGTTTACCTTGCACGCAATTTCGCCACGCCACAACTCATCTGGAAAAGCTCTCATGAAAGGCTCTTTTACCCGTTTTTGCAGGTACCGAAAATTCAACTTGTTCGGTGAATTCGCCCTGAACTTGACCGATATTAGTGACATCTCGGTTTTTGACGCTTTGGGAGCTCGATTCGGCATGATTACCTGCTTTGATCTCATGTTCCAACAACCCGCAGTGGAACTTGTTAAAACGTATGGCGTTACGGACATCATATTTCCTACCGCGTGGATACACGAGTTGCCGTTCCTCACAGGTAAATTAACTACTTATTTTTATCCCAATTTCCATCAAAATTACAATAAGATCAAAATGCCAATTCAATTCATAAAACAAAACTGGGGTTAACTAAATTTAAAAAATTATAAATATTGAGGTTTCTTAATAAATTATTGAAAAAAAAAATATATTAAGTAGAGTTTAAAAATTACATTTTGAGCTCATAATTATTTATACATGAAAGCATTTTTTTTTTTTAACATCAAATTTCCTGCCAGCGGGATGATGTTAACAAGACAGGTATCAAAACATTTTTGGCACATCACTCTTTTTTTATCTAGTGCTTTATACATATTATCATCCCTGCTTTCGCATAATACAAACCACCACTTTATATTCGCATTGCACGCGCGGATCGGCCCTAAATCCGGAAAAGCCGCTCACTTTCGCTGTCAGCGCCCGATAAAAATTTAACGCGGCCGAATCTAAAATGCAAAGCACACACCTCTCCGTGCAAAACTGCATCTCTGGTGAAGTGAAGCGTGTATCAAAAAATGTGGTTACAGGTGTTCAAACGCAGGCGATGTGGGCGCACGCGACCAACGTCAACTTTTTGGCCGCGGGCCTCAACCACCCCATTTCCGGCAAAGGGGGCAGCGGCATTTATCAAGGCAATATGGGACGAGTCGTGGACTCCACCCCGTGGGACGTAAGCAGCTTTTATTTAATTGGCGTGGTGCCTCCAGCCGGACCGAAAGCAGCGAAACTCGTCGACCAGCACGCGGACCTAATCCGCCTGCCCGGCGATCCAATTAGAACACCCAAGGGGCCACTTTTCCCCCCAAATCGGCCGCAGACCAAATTAATTCCGCCCGGTGCGAAATCTCCGTATTACATGCAGGAGAATTTGACTAATTACGAATCGGCGCTAATCGAGATGCGGCGAGAAATCATGCACTACTCTCTGTGCAGCAACGGCCTTTGTTGTGACCTGGAGGTGTCAGGGACCCTTCGAGACCAAACCGTGTACCGGTTTTTCGTTTACAACGGCGATCGCGAGTTCGGCGGCGGATACTACAAAGGATTCCGAATCCAAACGTGTGCTCTGGTCAGATGCAAGTTCAGCGAGGATCCCGTCAAGAATTGCGGGTTGGTTTTGAGCCAAGACGCGCTGAAGGTCGAGTTCACGCACATTCGGATCACGGGGAATTTCAGCAAGGACGCTTTGATGGGTCCGAATATTGTGGACGGCGAGTTTAAGATCCTGGCCGGAAACCAGTACATTTTCCGAAAGGAGCCCGACCAGGGCCAAGTGAGCAGGATCGATTTCCAACTCGCGGAGCGGATCGACCAGAACATTTTAACTTTCGGGGTGTGGGGCAGAGTGTTCCCTCCGTGGGATTCGGGCTTCACCGAAAATCTGCGGCCGCCGAGCTGGATTTTGCCCACGGCTATTGTTGTAGGCGGCGCATTCATAGTTGTCTGTTTTTTGGTTACAATAATCAAATTCACGCCTGATAAGTACAAATAGTGAAGAATTTTGAGTCGCGGACGATAAAAGTGGGGCCACAACGATATATGTGTTCATTATTTTAATTATATCATTATTAGATTAATTTATGTAATAAATTATGACAAATTAGGGTTTTGTGAAAAAGTGTGCCAATAAGTAAGAAAAATGTTCTTGAAAAACCTTGTAAATTTTAAATAATCTGAGCTAAATATGACAATAAAGTAATGACAATCATCTCTAAAATATCATATCAAAAGATTTTTCAATCACATGAAACCAGAGTTAGCATTAGCAATAATTTAAAATTAAAAATTTTACAGGTCCGCAGGCACAAGCAGCCTTTGCATATGGCAACCAGGTCAACGTTTTGGCCTCTGGTTACAACGAGCCTGAAGCGGGTCACACTGGCAGCGGAATTTACTTAGGAAAAACTGCAGGAGATCTGTTTGCCACGATTGAACAGAATGTCACAAGCAAATTAGTTGTGGCAGAAGTTCCGACCCAAATTTCCCAAAAACTTAAAACCCAAATAGTTAATCGAAATAATATCGAACGAAATGGAATCAACCCATTTGCTCAGAAGCCTGTGGAGAATTACATGCTCATCACTGAAGATAATTTGCAGGACTACACTGCAGTCCCTGTGCCTAAAAACATGCTCAAAGGCACCATTCAAGCATGCGACAACATGCTCTGCTGCAACCTGACGTTTGAAATTTTGAACAAAGATGTTTTCAACTTCCACTACCAACTGCTGGCGTTTGACGGTATTCGAACCCACTTGGTGGGCAGATATGAAACGGAAATGCAAGTTTGTGCACTTGTTGCCTGCGCCGATGACACCAAACTCAGTTGCTCGAACCCTTTTACAGCGAGTTCTTATTCGGAACTCACCGAATTCGGGCACATCAAAATAGAGGCTGAGTTTAAATCTACTCTGCTGTGGCCTAATACTGTGGACGCAGATACTATGTTGCCATTGAGCAGATCTGCTTACGATTTCCAAGTAGACAACACCACCAACTTGGCAGTGTTGGAGAGATCGGAGCCGATTACAAATGTCCACACATTTGCAATTTATTCCCACGATTATATTAAATAAGGCAATAATTCAGTTCCTATATTATGTGATACCCATTTAATGAGATTTTAACTAACAACGCAGCTAATTATCAAAATATTTGCACTTACAATTTACAATGTCTGTGATTTACACACGCTCAGTTAATCGTACCGTTTCTTCTCGTCCGTTGATGTTCGAGAGGAAATTTTTGGTCGGCCAGCTTTGTTTTTGTTTGAATTGGTCGACAAGCTGGAAGACTGTTTGTCCTTCACTTTGTTTGCCAAAAATGGGTGCACTTCTGTAACGAAACAAAAGCTCAATTTACTTTTTTCAACAATAAAATTATATATTATACCTTCCACTGGTGCATTTTCAAGTTTGATGTCAAACGAGTTGAACTTTGGTTTCTTGGGCTGCGTATTTTCTTTACTCTCAGAATCAGCTGGCCTCTTTCCTAAAGAGAAGAATTATTTAGTCCATGAATAAACTTTGTTTTTGATAAATATATGCGCATTATTTTCAATACCTAATTCTGTGGATTGAGTTGGGACAGGCATGGAGCCGGGTGCTCCCCATCCTTCCTCCGGATCTTCCACTTCTGGTGCGATCGGCAAAAACTGCAACGATGATTCTTCGTCGATGATATCTTCCTCATCAGAGCTGCAGAAAGCGGCGATGGGATCAACAGCTGTGACGTCAATTTCACAATCCTCGTCTAGCTTCTCAATCTGCGACTCCACTTCTTTGTCTTCGTCATTGATGTCAAACTCCGACTCTCGCTCCTCGTATTCAACGTTCTCGTCCAACTCCTTGAAATCAGGAGCAAAAGCAGACCAATTTTCAACTTGATTTTGAGCCCAGATAGATACGACGCCACTTGAAATGCTTGCAATGATTGGTCGAACAGGATGCCACTAGAAATTTAAGCTTATTTATAATTTTTCAGGAGATATTTTTATTTTCTTAAATTACCACAACATCCAAAAGCAACTCTCCTTTTGTTCCGTGCAGAATTTTCACCAGGTTTCCAATGTTTTTATCCCACATGTAGAGAGCGTGTTGTCGAGCAGAACCAGCACAAATATATTCTCCATCTCCGGAAAAACAGCATTTTTTCCACATTGTTCTGAAAAACAAAATTTGAATCTGATTTCAATAATAATTAAATCATACTTATTAACGAGATCTTGCAATTTCTGAATCGGCTCAGGCTCTCCATCGTCTCCACAAGTCATCACTTCTTTGCTGTCATACACCCTGATGACTCGATCGGCAGTGTTGACCAAGAAAAAACTGATGGGGAATATTTATTCACAACAATAAAATTAATCTCTCAAACATACTCTCCTCTGCGAGCAAACTCGATGCTCTTCACTGCGGTGGCGCTTGAAGTTCCTTGTGTCACTTTGAAAGATGCTTTGTTTTTAAGCTCAGGGCAACTGAGGACAATCACCCTCCCCTTTGTGTTTCCTGTAAAAATGTACTCCCCTCTTCGGTCGAATGATGCGACAATGTTCAAGTCAGCCTGGAATTCTCCAAGTTAGATTTTAATTAATTTATTTAATTTCTCTTCATTACCTCATCGTCCATCGGAACGATTTTATGAGTACCATCAATGTTGACGAGTACTGCAGGATGCCTCATGGGACACACAAGAAACCAGTTGTCCGATCGAGGATTGAATTGAACCTGAATAAAATTTAAGTTGATTTGATATTCCCCTGATGAAATATATAGTTATACTTTTAAGATTGGCGACGGAAAGCTAAACTTTTGTTCACAGTCTCCACTTAGGACGTCCCAAATGCACACATTATTGTCCGTGCTGGCACTCAGCAACTTTTTCCCATCTCGAGACCAACTATGAGAATCATAAAAAAAAATTTTAAGTTTTTTTAACTTATTTTTATAAAAGAAATATACCTTAGGGAACAGACCGGGTGCACATGAGCGCTAATAATTTTCGCAATTCCGCGAGTAAGGAAGTCCCACACAACGATGCGGCCGTCGTTGCAACCGACAGCGAGCAGAGTCCCTCTCTTGTTGAAAGAGCACGTCACGGCTAGGGAAATGCAGTCAAGAGCTCCATCGAATTCCTGATTAAACGATATAAAAATTATTTGAATAAAACCAGATTAAAAGCAAATTTAATGAAAATGCACTGAAAGACTAGAAAAAGACACAAACCTCTGGATAATTTTGGCCAAATGATTCTGAAATATATAAAAAATTATTCAACCAAGTTGCAAAATTTGTAGTAAAATTACAAACCTAGAAGTTCCAAATTCATAATAGCGAGCTATTGAACCGCAACACTTCCGAAAAAGTGAAAATTTTATTTTTGTGCGGATTTTTGGAGAGCAGCACAAACATCAACAAATGACAGTGATGCCAACAAAACACCTGAATTAATTTATTTTTTAAAATCAATTCTAACCAACAATTTAAGCTAAAAAATGCTTTAAATAATAATTTTAAGTAAAATATAAATCAATTGAAAAAACTAGAACTTTCTTGAGCAAATGTTAACAAATAAGTAAAAATGATAACATTTTTCTGTTGGTGTTTGCTTGCTTTGACCTTATGAGTTGCAAAAATCTAGCGCTCGAGGGCGCTTTTTATTCTTATCTCTCATCTCGTCCGCTGTCATTTTGCTTCTTCGCTTCGTAAACACTCTCTTCACGTATTTTTGCGATTGCAATTAGCAGGTGAATTGCGACCGACGCGATCATTTTGCATCGTTAGCTTCCGAGTAAGTTTAGTTTTGGAAACTTCAAGAATTGAGCGAAACAAAAAAATGCCACCGAGCTCTTTTTTAACACCATAAAAGCAGAAAATTAAGATGAACTTTTACGATTTTAACTGTATTGATTCCATAAGTTAACTTTCCAAAATAAGCATTTTGTACTGGAAAAGTTGTTTGGACCCATGAATTTTACGCCTCTTCCATAAAACCTGTGCTTTATTTTTTAGAGAGCACAAAATTTTTGCTTCTCTCTCGGGAGTTTGAAGCGTATTTTGCTCCCTATTTGATGTGACATTCTTGTTCATCTTGAAATTCTAGTTGCCTAATTAATTGGCATTTTTTCAGCGATTTAATGTAATTAAAATCACACAGAAAACTTTCCTCGGGTAAGTTGCGTTTCCTAGCCGAAAACATCTCCAAGAAAGTGCTGGTGGACACATTTTTGGAAAGCAGCTTTGATGAACTGAATCTTCTTCAACTCGTTCAACTTGGACCATCTGCAATAGTGAATGACATTAAGTACTTTTCCTTTGGACATTGAGACATTAAGGATCAAAAGTGCAGCAATTTTCCTCGTCGGAAGGAACAATCAAAGCATCTCTGAACTCTTAAAATGAAACTTTTGCTGCGAGCCTCATTTTTTCTAAAGTGAAAAATTAGTGTGGTGTTTTGAAAACAATATTATGCGCGGACAATTAATTTTGGACCTCAAGTGTGTGCAAATGCGCAAATTTGCACTTCGTAAATATTGTATTCATGATTCCTCTGTTACCTAGCATAAAATTGGACTGCCAGTGTTGAGGTAAAGAAGCAAGAATCGCAAGCAAAAGCATCCAAGTTTTCAATGTTAATTAATTCTGGTGCTTATAACAAAATCGATACACAAGATTCCTTGCTGAACATTATTTTGCTTTTCAATTGGACAAATTTTTTGACACGCCTATAATTCCAGCAGCAGCGACCGATGCCGAAAAACAGAAGAAACCGGTCAAGGAACCGCGGTGGAGGAAATGAGAGGGCCAAGATGAGAATGGACGACGTCCGAGGCAGAGTCGGTGGTGGTGCGCAAAGGAGAGAAAATGAACCAAGAGCTGGCAGGGGCAAACGGAGCTGTAATATTTAACAGTTTAATTTACAAGATCATGAATCTAAATCATATCTTTCAGCCAACTCTCCTCGAAGGCGTGAGCTTGGCCATGTCATGCAAAATGCTCGCAGAGACGGTGGTCACAGTGCTTACTGGACGAAACGCCTTCTGGAGGTCGAGGCCAGAGTTCCCGATAGGTATTTTTATTACGCTCATGGTAATGAACTCAGAAGATGAAAGGCAAAATTGCAAATAGGTGGCGGCATAGTGGCTTTGATGAAATCTACAGGGATGAGCTGAGGAAGTCGAGCCACTCGAGAAGTTCATCTTCGAGCAGCAACACCTCTCGTAGTCGCTCTCCTGTCGAGAGACCAAAGTCTCCTGTTGGTCGACGTCCCCACACTCCAGTGAAGGCAACAAAAGAGAAAACTCAGAAGGCTCGACCAAGGTAAAGTGAAATTCTGTTTGTCTTGAGCTGATTTAACATGAACAGTTTTAATTTTTAGTAAATGAGACTTAAGTTTAAAAATCATTCAAAATGTTTATTCGCTCACATCAAGTCAATGAAGGAAAAATAGAAATAAATTAATTGAGTTATTTAAGAAGAAAAATATAATTATTAAATTACTAAATTATTATAATTTTTACTGCCTAAATTTACTCAATTTTTAATTTCTTGCCTTGCAGGTCACCTCCATCCCCACCAAGTAGACACAGCGAATCAAGAGAGCGGTCCAGAGGTCGGCCAAGGACACCTGCACACCGACGAGGTCACCGAAGATCGAACCGCTCCTCATCTTACTCATCTTCGGGAAGCGACAGCTCTTGCTCTGACGAGGATTGTTCCGTCTGCACCCCCAAGAATCGTAAACAGCAAAGAATTTCGCGCTCTCCTCCATCACCCCCATCCCCTCCCTTTGCCAAGAAGGCCATTAAAAGGGTTGTTAGCAATAAGAGATTGGGCAGAAAGACTCCTCCCGAGCCGGCAGGGGGTAGAAAGAAGCAAAGGGTTGGGCGGCCCAAGTCTCCTCCACATCCGAGAACCCCGGTGGGTTCATCGAGCGGCAGCTCTTCGAGCTCGTCTGATTCTGAAGGTTCTTCGGGAGAAATCAACGAAACGCCCAAGATGACTCTCTCGGAGCGCTTTGGAAAAATGGCCCAATGGTCTGTTGATAGGAGGGAGTATGATTCCGTTTCAATGAAAATCACCAAGGACTCGGCTGCCCCTGGCATGAAAGTGGTGATAGCGGAAGATGCCGTCGAGCTTGATTTTCCACTTTCTCGACATGAAAGACCTGTCGCGAGGCGTGAATCTCCGGAGAGAGACTATGCTTTCCATTACGAGCGCCGTCGCTACTTTTTCGAGAGGACTTTCACGGAGGAAAGACCTGCCGGTCCTGACGCTCCGGTCAATTGGTCTGACCCTTTGATCCGATACAGTTACTACCGCCGAAAGGGTCTTTTGTGGGAGCCAGACGTGTCATTTGACGAATATTTTAAATGGGAGACTTGGTGGCAGAGGTACCAGGAGTGGCTTGAGGTGGAGAGAACATGTTATGGGGAGGACGCTGCTCTGGAAAACGCCAGGAGGGAACGGGAGAGGGATTGGGAGAGCTACAGGTTTTCAAATCTGGGAAGGTCGCCACTTGAAAGGGAGTCGCTGCCGTTGCCCAAAAACGAGCCGTGGACATCGAAAAGAAGCAAACTGGGCAGGAACATAATTAACAAGGGGGCAGAAGGATTTGTCACTAGAAAGTTTCTTAAGACCTAAGGGAGAAGACAGAGAATAATTAGATTTTTAATGTTTTACTTACTACATACTTTAATTACTTTAATTTTACATTTATATCCTGATATAAAATGATTAAAAATAAAATCTATGTATTTTTTTTTAACTCGTGGTGTCAAAGATGGAATTTATAAATTACCTGAGCTCTCTTTTTTTTTGCTTCAGTCTGATTAAAAATTTTCTTTCAAATATTATTTTATTCTTCACTTTGCCATCAAATGTCAATAAATTTTATTTTAATAGTTGTGTATTAGTGTATTTGGTTTATCCTTGAGAAATAAAATTGATGAAATGTGCTCTAATTTCTGTGCGCAATACTTAAGTTTTAATCATTAAAGCATCTCTCCTGTGCATTTCAAAAGGTAAACAGTAGCAAATTTCTACCGCATGCGCTACGCTCTCAAATATTTATGAGTAAACAATGTAACAAGTATATTGTGTACCCATTGAGTGGTGAACACAAGGAGCCTTGTTTAAGCTGATAAGAAAGTGTAGGCGCTTTATTTTTTTTCTCGGTTGTCCTCAGTTATAATTTTCTTCTTAAAAATGATGCTGAGAAATTTAAAAAAGAAAAAAAATTTTTTTAATTCTTTAAAAAATACAGAAATTTTGAATTTGTTATCTTAACCAGTCTGTTTCAATGTTAATTACAGCAGAAAATAATTATACATTAATGAAATAATTTGTATTAATTTAATCTCCTTTTCTGAAGTACACACGTTGGAAAAAAGTGAATTAGAATTGTCATAAAATTGTAGGATAAAATATTCATATTTTACTTCCATCAATGAACAACGTGTTTTTCCCGCGAAGCTAATTTTAAAATAATATACGAAATCCAGAATTACATCATCTGTAGAATTGGTGGAGTTTCATTTGCATAGCCCAGCTGGAGAAATGTACGGCAACTTGACAAGACTCATTCGAAGCAGAATCCTTTCTTGAACGACTCTTTTTTGCTAATAAGAAAAATAGTTTAATCGGTTTAGAACATTTGGCATCAAAAATATAATATTTTAATTGCTGAAATGTTGTTTTTAAAATAAAAGTCGTGACAGCAGTTGGTAGGATCACGTTGGCGCACCTGCTGAAAAAGCAAGATGGCCACTGTTGGGGTCAAACACGGAGAACTCGAGCCAGGGTTTTAATTAGCGAGTTGTTGAAATTCATCAATTAAAAAAGTCGAATTAGCGAACATGACACATGAAGACATGTGATTGGCAAGTGAATCGATCAATGACTGTGTGTCAGTGTTCCAATTAGAAGATGGATGCAACGGAGAAGAAGGCGTCGCGCACAGTTCACTTCTCCGAGGACGAGAGCAGCCTGGTTACGGCCACTTATGGACCAGAGGACCCCTGGTTCACTGGTAAAGAACGCATTTACGATTCTTATTAAGCGCGGGTGGCCGCCGCCGAGGGCCGCGGGCCCGTCGCAGGCCTCCGGTGGCAAAATCGATTCCGAGCCCCTCGGCCGCGGACAACGCCAGCAGCACCACCAGTGCATAATAAATTTTTTCCCGAGGACACTCTCTGCTTTGCATTCGCTGCTTTTCTCGGAAAAGTCAATCAACAGTTGCTACGTGACACGATAGACACACATTAACGACGAGTCGATCGCGAATCAATGAAAGCGCGGATCGCCGAGACGCGAGTAATTTCCCAGAAAAATCGGTTTGGCGCGCGAATTCCTCGCTCGCACGCTAATTACCAAAGTAGGCCAGAGAGTGAAAGGGATAGTGCGCTCGTCCGTCCGTCCGTCTTTCTTAATTTGTTCCGCACTTGATCATTTTATTTTGAATCCAAACTCGAGCCACCGACAAATTAGACTCGGGACTAATTCTTGTTTTTCTCGTCCGCTAATAGATCGGCCCGAGGAAGTTCTCGCCGCTTTTCAACGCAGATGGTCTGCACCGCTCTTCTTTTCTTGTAAAATTCATTCCCGCCCAAGGCTGTGCAATATTGCCTGCTTGTTTATAACTAGGACAAGGAAAGGGGCATTTCCACGCGAACACAGCCATATAATTATTATTTCAAGCAATTAAAATTGGCTTTGTCCATTTAGAGAGACGGACGGTGCTAGTTTGGGAAATTGGCGTGTTTGCACTCTTCGATAGTGTCGAATGCTGGCCTTGACATGTTGCTAGGTGCCGCTTGACCTGAGACTCGCGCGTCTCCATCGTACCTGACCGTTAATTTATTATCAAAAAGTATCAAAACAAGGAAAATTTTGGCAATTTATTTACATCAAAAATATAAAATATCTTTTTCTTACATTTTTTATAGTTAAAAAACCAAATTCAGGATTTTGTTTTTATAAACTGAAATAAAAAATAATTAAATGGTTTGAAAACTTCACCATTAGATAAAAATTTTGATGAAAACCTGTTTTTAAATTTTATTCTTATAATTTTGGCTTCATTAATTGATATTAAAAAATAGAGCTTTGAATTTTGAAATTGTGCTGTAGGATTTAAATACTTGACAGCAGCAAGAATCAGACGAAAATTACTTCTATAAATAGAGCAATCATCGTGAGTAATCAACAAAAATAACACACTTGCAATCTTGATTTTTTGTTGTTTGTTATTCATGATTCTCAAATTTCCTGTCTGGCTCTTTAATAAGTTTTTTTACGATAAGCCAAACGAAATCGTTTTTTTGTAATTTAATAGTAAATCATTTTTTTTTTCTTAAATACAGATTTTGAATTTTTATTGTTTTTTTTAATATTAATAATTTCAATTTCTTGAGCGCTTGGAAATATTGGTTGAAATAAAAACTCGCACTTTTCAGACAGAACAAGTTTGCCAAATCAACCTTTGCTTGATTCCGCAGTTCAAGTTTTTTGGAAGCCTCGGCCGAGAAAAATAAGTAGGCCGCAGACTGGGTGTCAGAACAGTTGGTCGATGGATAAAGGAAATAAAACAGAGAGGGAGAGAAGAAGAAGAAGCAAGTTATCGCAATATTTATCTAGCTTGTCGGTTGTGTGCCTCTGTTTAGGAGCAGCACCACCTGCCACTTAATTGTGCCGGCAGCCGACGTGCATGTTAATTAAAATGCACACGGCGCAATTATAAAACTGTGGCTTCTCTGAAAAAGGCGCAATAATTTAATTAAGTTATTATTATTGTTGTTTGCCGAGTAGATGGAAATGCAACTCGCGCGACATTTCATTAATTAGCATCGGTGATTTTCGCACCCAAGCTGATTATCTGCAGCTTTGCAGGCCATAATCCGATACCCAGGGGACGAGGTTCGGATTACATTATTTTTCTTGCCAGCTGCTCGAGAAACTTACATCACAGTGTATTGAATTGCAAATATCTTTTATTATTTGATAGTTATCTTAATTATTGTTTATTCAATTAACTGATGTTTCATGTTGATTTCAAAGTCACAAGTTCAGCAGGATCATTGAAAAGTGCTTATGATGTGATTGAATATTGCAAGATTATATATGGATAATTTATGATTTTTATATTTAGGATTTTTACATATGCTGAAAATTGTCTTTAATAAATTAAAAATGTGCAGAAAATTTGAAGGAAGAAAATGTATCATATGAGTTTTGCTTCCAATCAGTTGCACTTTTTACTTACATTTTTTTTTTAGTATTAAATAAGGATTTTTTTTCATTTTAATCTTTATTTATTTTTTGTTTACCAGCTGTTTACAATTTTTTTAGTATTTTATTTTAAATAATTCTTTATTTTAATTCAAAATTTACTTTAATTTTAAATGATTTTCTTCATTTTAAACTTTATTTGCTTTACTTATTATTATGAAATTTTATTCACAATTTAATTTAATTTTTATTGATTTTTTTTCATTTTAAGCTTTATTTATTATTTTTCAACTTTATTTAAGGTTTAGTGTTTGAAATCAATGATAACTTGAAAATAATTGTGCATGCAAATTTCTCTTTTTACTCCTGAATCCATGCAATCTTCTTGGGAATTTGTAATTTGATGAGAAACGCGATAAGAGAGTTTACGTTGGCGTGATTTATTTCCACAGCAATGCGCTGGAGCTGTTGTTGTTTTCGAAGATGAATTTTTTTCAAGGGGTTGATTTATGGTCCACACAGAATAAACAAGAGCACGCGCTAGAATTGAGAATAAAACGGCCGCGATAAAAGTTTGTTTGAAGCAGAAAATAGGAGCGTGCAAACAAAATTATATTTATATCGCATATTATAATGTTGCTCGTTGTATCGAACGACCAACGGCTTCCTTCTTATGTAGAAATTGGCGACAGGTGCTACTTCCTTTTCTCAATGGCCTTTTGTGCAAATGAACGAAACTTAAAAAAAATTAAATTAAACGACAGGGAACGAACTTGTATTATTTTCTAAAAAATTTCTATCGGACTATTAAAAATAAAAAATTTATAAAATTAGAAATTAATTCCTTTCTTTTGCTAATTAAAAATTGTTCTCTTTTTCAGACGAAGAAATCTCTGCTGAGTTCCTCTCAGCCAAATACACTGAATCGTGTGCAAAGCATGGGGTCGAACCAATACCAAAAGTTCTGGGGCAACTGCAGGTAGGTTGAAGTCATTGCAATTTTCTTTTTTATAATTAACACGGTCCTTATTTTTACTTGTAGGAGTTTAATTACAAGTTAAGCGATGATGAAAGGATTCCGCTCCTTGACCTCAGTGGCACTCAGCTCGAGTACATGGCGTGTGAAGCCTTGGAGGAAATTTTAAAAAGAGTTAGATTCACCATTCTGGACTTGGAGAATACTCAAATTAGTGAAGAAGTGAGTTTCTGCTTTAATCTTACCTCTTTAAAGTGCTTTGTTTGTTCCTGATAAACCAAGAAACTTTTTGTTGCAAAATATAAATTTTCAGATAAACGTTTGCACAACCTTTTGGAATGCAAAAAAATTAAATTATATTTTGTCGCCTAATAAATTCTAAATTATTTCAGGGAGCTGTTGCTATGTTTGAGATGATAGAGTATTATGAGGCTTGTGAAACTGTGAACATATCAAGAAACGCCAAGATACTAGGCAGAGGCTGGCAAGCGTGTTCTCGGATGATAAAAAAGGTAAATTGAAGTGACCTTGAGTAAAACGAATTCTAAATTACTTTTGCAACCACAGACGCAGTGTTTGAAAGAGCTTATTGCCAAGGAAACTTGCCTGAAGGAGGAATTCATTCCCTTCTTGACTCGCTCGCTGAAAATTGGGACCCATCTCTCAGTATTGAATTTAGAAAGGTGTCATTTGCAAGGCAAACCTATAATTATGCTAAGTAAGTTCCCCTTGCTTTTTGTCACCGCTTATAAGCTACTTTAAAATTTTCAGCCAATGCACTGAGAATGAATAGGAGTTTGCAAGAAATTTACCTTGGAGAAAACCATTTAGAGTCGACAGACGCTTACAACCTCTCTAACTTGTTGAGTTATAACACGTGTTTGCAACTACTTGACCTGAGCAACAACATTATAGGTAAAAAAAAAAATATAAACTCATTCAAGATTATTTCATTAAAATTTGCAGATTTTTTTATTCTGTTCAACAACAATGGCTGTAATTATGCTGATTTTCTTTGCATTAATTGAGTATTTTTTTTATTTACATTTTAGGGGACAAAGGGGCTCAGCACATATGCCAGCGGTTGTCGGGCAACATTTATGCCCCTAGCCAGCCGGACTCGCCCTCTAGTCCAGGCGACGACAAGACAGGGTTAAAAGTGCTGGTCATGTGGAACAATTGCCTCACACAGTCCAGTGGTCTGCACTTTTCCAAGCTGCTGGTATAGAACAATTCTGATGTTATGCACTGAATACACTCACATTCGTTCTATTTTAGGAAGTTAACAACGACATAGAGATATTAAACGTCGGGCATAACAATTTAACTGACTTTTGGCTTCAAGGCTTGAAAGAGCCTCTCAGACAAAACACGGGACTTTCTCGCTTAGGACTGCAGTCGACCAAGTTAACTTGTACTTCAGCCAAAGACTTGAGTTATGTTTTTGAGCATAACAGGACTCTCCATGTATATAAACTGCCATTCCGCACCCTACTCTTATTAATTATGGATCCCATTTTCAGAGGGTAGATTTAAGAGACAATCAGTTTAAGGCTGACGGACTTCAGAGCATGTATAAAGGCTTGGAACACAATGAAAGTATGACTCAGTTGGACCTGGATCAAAATCCAACTTACTTAGTAGGATTTTAATTTCAAATTTCTTTTTTTTTACTAACAGATTATCTGTATAGGAATCAGAAGACTTGACTCATTACCAGGCAGCATTGAACTCCATAAACGAGCAGCTCAAGCTCAACTCGGAAAAACGCCCACCCAACAGCTATGCCACAAGATTGCCACTGAACGTGGGACTGAATTCAAGAAAGATTTCCCTCACTTGTGAAATCAAAATCCCTCAAACGGTGCCCAAGAAGTCTCTCACGTGTGGAAGACTGCGTTCGCCGGCGCCAAGTCCAACGCCAAGTCCAATCATGAGCCCTATTCCCAGTCCAGGAAAATCCAGGTTTTCCGTCTCGAGAGTTGCAGATCCGTCGCCAGCAGTTGTTCCTGAAGTCAGATCTAGGTTTTCAATAACTCCTGTCACAGATATTCCCAAAATCATTTTACCCGAAGATTCTAAAGTTACGGTCGGGTTCCAAGTTTCGCCACACTCGGGCTTGTCCAACAGTCCTGGAGTTTTCCAGTTTGAGCAGGACACGAACAGCAACCGGAGCTTGAGTGAGCAGATCGAGAACGAAATCAACAAGAACATTAACAACAACGAGAGTGTTGATTGCGACGATGAAGTGGAGCAGATCACCTCCAAGATTGAGCACGAGAGAGATGAAAGTCAGAAGAGAGAGGCAGAAGATTCCATCATCTTAGACGTGAAGCCGAAGGAAGAGGATAAATTTGACATCATCACGGAGATGAATCCAGCGTACCTGGACAGTGTCAACACGGACTCTGCACATTTGAAAGCTGAGAAACAACAAATGAGCATTTCACAGACTTTCCCACCGCGAATCACCGAACCTCGGAAGTTGAAGGAGAATGCTCACAATTATTCAAATACAGACAACACGCAGATTTCCAAATCCGAATCCAAGTCAACACTGCAAAGTTTGTTTGCACTCTTCCAAAGCCCCTCTCTTAGTTTCACTTCAACCGCGTCGGCTTTTTATGCCAAAACTGAAGCTAAAATGTCGCAAATTGTCCCCAGTCTCAGTTCAATCTCTTTGGGCTACGAACCGTTCAAGTTTTCTTCCAAGCCCGAAAAGTCACATTCGAATCCCAAAATGCATTTACCTGGAGAATTATTATGTTCAAACGAAAGGCATTTAGAGTCCGGGGGATTGACCAATCCGCTCTTAGATAGTACAAACTCCGAAAATCAACCCGCCTCGACCAGTGACAAGGAAAACACTCTAGAAATCAGCTCCAGCAAAAAGAAGAAGAGCAAGAAGAAAACCAAAGAGGAGTCGTACTGGGACTTTGGAGAAGACCCTCCAGAGTCAGTACCTGGCACTTCTGACGTCGCGACTTAATTTAATTAATCCTACTGAGCTATGTGAATTCCGAAGAAAAAAATCGTACTGCAGGAGAGTAGCAAGCTAAATACCTGACAAAATGCAGTGAGGAGCGGTGGCCTTTGAGGAGAATTAAACTTCTTTTCCTCGACTGCTTTCATTGACAAGAAAGAAATGACGATTCCCGTGCGCGTGACACTTGATTTCAGAAATCACGTTTTCCCGTCTCGGTAGGAACTGTCGTACTCCGAATCTAGGGTTGTGACACATTTCGAGCTCAAATATTCGGAACGTCGCGGCGGCAGCATATTGTTGTTTTTTGCTTGCCGCACGTTTGTCTATGATAATGTGCCATTTTAGGAATACTTACTTAATACGAGGGCGTCTTTTGGCCCCGACAGTTTTTAAAAGACCGGCTGTGGCAGTTCCTACGCGAGAGAGTTTCTTAAGTTGTAGAATATTATATTCTTTGTCCAGTCGTAACTTGTCCACGCGCGCCATGCACACACACACACTGAGAGATACTGAGCCCTTCACTACATTTCTCCTTGAGAAACATAAAAGGGAATAAGCTTCTTGTAACTCGCAAACCGTACTCTACAAATTTAAAGTGTTCAATGTTTTACAAGAAATAACTTCGAGCCACGCACTCGACTGTTATCACTAAAAAGTAATTCATATTTGCTGGTTAACATAATTAATATTGTGTATATTGACAAGAGAGAGACTTGTTTAATAACAATGTGTAATATTGAATGTAACGCTGGCTGTTACCCTCCAAAAAAAAACACGTCATTTGCGGAAAGAGTTGAAACGGCGAATAATAGGTTATTGATGGTTGTGCTATCAAGCAGCAAACTCCGGATGGAAAATATGCTGTTGCGAGAAAGTAATCAGATGAAAAAATGTAACTTATTAAAATTTGCATGACGTCAATCAAAAAAAGAATGCAAGTACAACAGAACGACATCGCAATTCAGTCAGAGGATGCAAAGAAACTTAATCAGGGGAGACGCTGCTGCATCTTATTCAATTTGAAATATTATTATGTTTGTGATAATGTTTGATGGGGTGATTATTTTTCCATCCTCAGAAAAAAATACACACGGCACACATAAAAAATTGTAAATAACGCTGAGGATTGATCTTAAGGCAGCAAAATTTGAAAAATTTTGTATCTTGATTTGCAATCATTTAATATTTTTTCCCTTAGAATTCTGTTTTCCGTTTAGTTTGTCTAATGTTAATAATTATATATATTATACAATAATATTGTTAGTTAGCTCACCTAGAAAAACCAATTGTGATATCAGATACACTACTTCTTTAAACTGCTATCCGGAGTGTAGAAATTGGCAAGAAGTCCCTCGACCAGCCGGTTATAGTAAATGATAGGGATGTAAATATATTTTCATATAGCACCATCCTCCTAGATTGTAGTCCTTGCGAAACCCTTGTGTGATTATTTAGGAAATCCCTCTTACTCTCACCAAATATATTTTTATATAGACATTTTAGAGCTGATCGTGGGACTTTTTGCCTGCTCGAGGATCCAGTGACACAAACACTACTTTCAGTGATAGAAAAAAAAACTGTTTAATTACTTTCCCCCAAAATTTTAGACACCACCCGTTTGTGATATAAATACGCTATCAAAAGCTATTACTTCTCTCTTTGGAATTCATCTTGAAATACCAACATTGGCCTCAAATCTGCTGCACCTCTAACAATTTCGCAAAAATCAAAATTCAATCCTTTGAACACTCTGTTGATGTTGAAAAGTGTTGATGGGCATGAGATAAAAAAAAATGTTCTGGCATGGCAGAAAGAAAGTTGGGAAAGGTGTAGTATTTTATAACATGTTATATACTGACAAAACTAAAACATACGCTTCGTCAACTTAAATTAATGATAAATATTCTCCCACCTTTGACCTTCACCACTTCATACGGATAAATATTAAAATTCTTTCTTAAGAAATCATAAGGTTGAAAAGGACTTTATACACACAAAACAGTTACTGTATTCTGGAACTAATTTAAAGTATTTTTCGTCACCACTGCCAGACCAATATTGAAGTAATTATTAAAAATATTAAGTTGACTTTTTGAAAAAATGTACATTTCTATTGATAAAGTTTAAAGTTGAATGGAGCCACCAACAGACTATAATAGTAAATATAATTCCGAAATTCGTTCCGTGCAACTTTGCTGCTCAGGGTTGAAATTAAATGTAAAGAGGTGCTCCATTCGAGCTTCTCTAATTTTTTTTTTGTAAGTATAGTTTTCGTTTTGGATTTTGTTGTCATGTGAAATGGCCAAAGTCATGAATAATGCCATTTAATATTTTATTTTGTGATTTTTCTTAATCGTTTTTTTTTTTTCGCCAGCTGAGGAAATTAAAAGTAATTCTTCGGGACTCTTGAGTGTTGAGATAGAATAAATTATAAAATCGTCAAACTTCTGTAAAATTATATCTATACAGTCCGTGAAATTATAATTAATATTAAAAAAAATCTGATATGTGAAGAGCGCGAAGATGGACGTGAAAGAAAAAAAAATATCTATTTTTGCCAGAAAAATGTGAGTAAATATGTGTGAGAAAAAAATCAGTAGAAAAATGTGACTAAATGTAATAAATATACAATAGATGTTACAACGTATTCCCTTAACTAACCGGTTAATTATGAAATCTAGCGCATAACTTATTATATAATTATATAAAATAATAATGTTAGATACCTGCTCTTTTGATGATGTGCTCTATATTTATATTTGTATAATTGTACAATATGCAACACTATTATTATGACATAATTCAGGAAAAAATAAATAAAGTATGTTGAATTCAAACGTGGAAACTGTTTTCTTCATATTAAGATAGACTTTGAAATTAATATTGTTTGTTTATTGTCTAAATTTTTAGATCGATCACATTGAAAACGATTTATTTGAAGAGAAAAAAATAGGAATTGTAGGACAAAACAACAACACCAATGGCAAGAATTTTGATAATAAAACTTCCAAAATTAATTAAATATGGAGAATTTTAAGAATTGATATTAATATATTTTTTAGTGTCGGGGCTGAAAAAATTTAATTTACGTAATAAAAATATTTTAAAATAATTTAATTTAATTAAAAATCAATTTAATTAAATAGCTTGTCTGATAAAAAATAATTTAATGAGTATTTTATTCTAGATAAAATAAGTGGGCCAAAACATTATTTTAATTTTTTTTTTCATCGAACTGGATCGAACCAATTTTTTTTTTGCATTTTTTTTTTTTAAATCTTTTCCCCCGAAAAATACTACGAAAGATTGTGCGTACGCCGTGAATGGCAGTGGCGTACGACGGCGTAGCGTGTGTGTAATTCCCCCTCCCCTGCTGGGAAACTTTCAAATGTTCGCGGGCAGCGGCGCGCGGTTCACATCTTTAATGAAGGACCAGCGCGACTTCAATGGAATTTATTGATTGTAAAGCTGCCCGTCTTCGTTGTAGTGCAGCTGCGAAAGTTCGTAGCGAATTCTGAAACGGAGTTGGTAGTGATGTAAAGGGCCAGTAGAACGTCGGATTGCGGACGTTCGGTTCCTCGCAGGGAACAAATCACCGCCCCAAACTGAAGCCCAAGGTCAGTGGAACGCCGAGCGTCCGAGGCCGCGGCGGCCGCGGCGCGGCCCGCGGCCCGGGCGACGGCCAAAATTTGTCAATAACTCGGGTGTAAGATGGCGGATTTCCAAGTATTATTCACCTGTACGCTGATGGGGGTATTGTGTAAATTTAGACACTTCATTGACTGAAGAATTTTTATTCATGCCCGTCGCACATTCGGCGGACGATCGGCGACGCTGCGGGCCCGTCGGGCCCCTCGATCGGCGCCCCGCGCTGTCGCAAGAATCGCGCTCGATTTTGTAATGTAGTAATTATTATACACCATTGAAATAAAATGCACTTGCGTACAGCGAGCGCGGATACATTTTAATGCCCTGTTGCTAACCAGCATGTCTAGCATTTTTTTATCTCGCATCTCGCACCATGTCATGCGTTACGTTTTCGTTATTGTTATTCTTGCCGTCGGCCCATTTAATTCCCTTCCGTTTTCCTTCTCATTGTGCAGAAATTCGTAAAATAAAATCGCATTTCGTCACCGCTCGTAACGACCGACAGATTCGGGAACTCCAGACGATGACTCATTTTTTTTTGTTCTAATTCCTTTTTCGTATTTCGCAGGAGATGTCGGAGGAACCGGGCGGCGGGGTCCTCAAGCCCCCGGTCCGAAACCTGCCCAAGAAGAGGAAATTCGACCCGAGTGAACTGGAGGATGACAACTGCAGCCCAGTCACCGACAAAGGTGGGAACTCGCGCCATAAGAGTGAATCATCCTACTACAGTCGTTGTTGCGCGCACCTGTGTGTGTCGAGAGTACCTTGAACAATGAACTATTAATCACCCTTTTATTTTCTGGTTAATGGCCGTGAGTGCTGCTTTAATTATTGCCACACGTGCAGATTTTCATGCGTAATTAAATGGTAATTTTTACGGTAAAAAAGTTTCTATAAAAATAACTATTGTCATTGAACTTCGTTTTCAGAAGAAGAAACTTTTAATTAAGTTTTTCAATTAATTAATGACACTGCGTCTTCAAAAAAGCAGATTTAAAAAAAAAAAATAATAATTATAATTATTCCAGGTTTTGCGGTTTGACCAAAATAAATTATTTAACTCGGCGTAGAATTAAATAGCAAATTATAGTACTTTGATACAGGCAAATTATTTGTTTATCATCTAAAATAATGAAGATTAATTAGGTAAAAATGATAAAGTATATTTAAAATTTCTATTGAACATAAAAATCAACTAAATTCCAATTGTTATCAGAATCAGGTTTGTGCATTTTAGTCAATAAACTTTTTTCTATGCCGCTTAAAACATTCTAAAATGCATTTTCTGCACAGGTCAAGTGATTTTATAACAATTGCCGCTTATTTAAAACAACTTTTGAAGCAAAAATTTTTTTACAGACAAACAAAATTTCCATGAAATTTGCTTAAAATATTTTGAAAAGTAAAAAAAAAATAATAATATTTAAAAAAATATTATTTTCATAAAGATTTTATTTCATGCAACTGAAACTAAAATAATTAAGCTATTTTTGCACCTCTCCTTTTATTAAAAAAAGGAAGTGCAAATCGATTGATTCATAATTTTCCGATAATGGAAAAACATGTTTTGAGCTTTTTTACAACAGTATAAATTATAATTTTGAAACAAAACATAAATTTTGTTCCCAAATATCAAACAAAACACTAATTTAATAAAATGACTTGAACTTTGTTAAAAATTTTATAGTTCATTACGGATTGTTTATAAAAAATCAGACTTGCATTATTTTTTTTGTTCATAATGCCTTAAATTTGCCACTAATTATAACTATTCAATCATTATAACAATTAAAGCGTCATTAATAGATGTTTTATTATATTAGCAGGCAATACAAGAATTTCGGCAACGGTGCTGGTGAGTTCCATCCCCGCCAGCAACGAGTACAACCCCGTTCAGGGCGCCCCGATCGACTACTCCTCGTACTACGCCCAGGGCCCAACTGGCCCTGCCAACGTCGCCCCGCAGCCCCTGCAGCCCCCGCCAGTTCAAATTTCGCCGCCCGCACCCATCCAGGTCATTTACCACAAGCCTGAGGTGTCGTCCTACGCTGTTGCTAAGGAGGTGAGTTGCAAGGGTTTAAAAAAATTATACAGTTCCTGGAATGGCGAAATTCCACCAAAAAAACTCCTGCTTTCATGCGTCAGTGAGGAAGGAAACAATTACCAATTGTTCGACACCTGTAATTATTTCAATTGTAGCAAATTGAAGGTCTTTTTAAATGATTCCCTGAATTTGATTATTTTAAATTGAAAATTATTTGAAAACAAATTTTCATCATTTTTTCGCAGCCCCAACCACACTGCTGCATTGACTTGAGAGACTTCATCGGCCACCGGGTGTTGGCCAGGAGCAAATCAAACCCACAAATTTACCTGCCAGGTACAATATCCAACGTCCTGTTGGCCATCGGAGGACAGGGTGGAGGAGTGACTGTAACACTTGACCAACCAAACATTGCCGGGATCAACGCAGAACCAATCAGCCTGTTGTACGAGGACGTTTTTGTCAAGGGTGAGTTTGCAATTTTTATCATCTAATTGCGCAGTATTTCAATTAATTTTGGAGAAAGCCAAAGAAGGGCCAGACAGCAGACAGTTGGCCAATATTGGTTGTTTGCTGTTTGTTTACTCGGAGGAAATATTTGGCAGTTCAATATGCTTGAATGGGTCTGTTCAATCCACACATGGAGAGCAAATAATCCTTTGTTTTAATTCACGCTTGTTTGGCTTAAGAATGGGTGTTTCTTGCACATTCACGAGCGCTTGAGTTGAATTATTAATGGTCTTGTTTATCTCTTCGCAGGACCTCTTGACGTTGTTTCTGACATTTGTCCAAGTCTGAGTCAGCTCACTAGTAGGTACCCCTTCGTTGTGAAAGATGTTCATCCGGAAATTAGATTTCTTCCTGCTGTGCTATGCCAGGTAGTTTTTTTAAGTTGAATTTAAGAAATTAGCAAAAGAAAATTATCTAATTTAATTAAAAAAAACCTTTTGAAATAAAATGATAATAAATTTATTTGCAAATCTGTACAGATTTAAATAATAAACAGGTTCATCTTGACCTTTTATGGGTCGATAAAGATAAATAATTATCACATTATGCAAAGTTCAATTTGAATGAAGATCTTCTCTTTTCTATATTACAAGACAAGTGTTATTTCAAATCATTTAATGTTAATCTTTCTGATTAATTCAGATCTACACCAATCCGATGCAAGTTTTGGTGGAAGTCAGAGTAGGCGATGTGATCGAGAAGCGGCTGGTGAAGCGAGCGCATCTTCGCATCCTCCAGGCGCCCTGGTCAGAAGAACTTGCCTTCCACGTTGAAAACCACACCGAGCCAGTGTCGTACGTGACAACAAAGGTGCCGGTGCCTCAGCCATCGCCTGTCTCTCCGCTGCCTCATGTGCACCCCACTTCTGTGCCGGGCAGTGTGGCCGCCATGATGTACCGCCACTCGGCCACCTCGCCTCTCAACATCAACCCTCCAGGCTCGATGCCAATCACCACAACCCCGGCGGCACCGACCAATCTGAGCGTGGCCACCCCTATGGTGGCCAATCTGTCCACCTCGGCCTCAACTCTGACCGTACCTGTAGTACAAAACAGCCACCACGCCGAAGCTGAATTCAGACGCAAACAGTTTGACGACTTTGTCGATTCGGACGATGACCTCAGGAAGGAGGACATCATGTTTCCATCTGAAAATGGTACAGTATTGGTTTTTTTTATGTCTTCTTAAAATAGCGTTTGCAACGGAAACGTAATTGCAGATGTCAAAATTTGTGAAACAGGAAGCAGCAAACGCTCGTCTGTGCAAAGCCGCGGCTCTTCGTGCTGTGACCAAATGACCAGTGGCGGATCCGTTACACCGAGCCGCTCGTTGACTGCCACCCCGCATCATTACAAAAAGGGTGATGTTGTGCGAACGCCGAGTGGGATCCGAAAGAAGTTCAACGGAAAGCAGTGGCGCCGACTCTGCTCACGGGAAGGTTGCAACAAAGAATCTCAGCGCAGAGGCCACTGCTCCAGGCACCTTGCACTGAAAAACAGCGTCACCCCTTCGTCTGGAAGGTACACAATATTTTCATAATTAAATAAAAAACTCTTAACTCTACTTTTATTTAATATTTCGGACAACTAAAATTATATATGCATTTTCAGGGAATCTGAGGAGCCGTCTCCTATATTTACCAGTCAATCTAACACACCAAATCCCACTCCACTGCCAGGACCACCAGCCAGTAACAATAACGGAAATGGGAACAACGGAAACCAAGTGAGGGCGTCTGCTTTGAGACTTAACAGCAGAAACTTTGACGCGGAAGAGACAGAAGCAGCTAATATCATGGGTAGGAAAAACTACATGATTAGGTTTTGTTGGGATTCATTTTATTCTTGCTTTAGTGTCTCTTGGCACATCAAAACCAGCCACACCTGAGGTCACCCTGGCTCAGCAGAACGCTCACTCAAACTACAACCAGTCAAGGTCACCTATTGGAGCTGCCACAAACCTCTTTGTGCCCATTGCGAGCCACAGTGATCAAAAACCAGCCAACAGAATGTTGTCTCCCCACAACGTCAGCCCCATTCCGAAGCAATTTGGAACATTCAACAATCAGCAAAACCTCATCAGGTAATTAGAATGGAGGAGAGAGTTTTATTTGTTATTTATTTTGCAAATATTTTTTAGGCCTGAAATAGTTCGACCTCACATGCTGATGTCAAAAGTACCCGCACAAACAAACGCAACGCAAATCATGCCGCCAAGAGCAATGCATCATCAGCACATGCAGCAGCAGCAGCCGCCACTTCCACAAACGACGCAACATCAAGTGATCTCAGAAAATTCTCACCCCACCTCCACGGCAAGCACAACTGCAACCACGGCTCCGAACTCTAACCAAACCAGCGTTATTCGGATCAGTCCTAGTCCTAATGTAAAAAACTGGGGCAGCGAACAGCAACTGGCCGTTTTGAACTACGCCCTTAATGAGGTAAAATGCCCAGATTGAAATTGTGGAGTGCCAATAAGTAACATTTTCTCTCACTTCGCAGCAGAATCAAGTTGGTCAGCCTCTTTTGCAGAAAGCGTTGACTACTCAAAAGCAGGTCACACTATTGGCTGTTCCAAATAAATCAAACGCCTCCGAGCACTCTCTGTACTGCATCGTACAGCAAACAGATAATAAGCATAATTCTGAGGAGAATCACGTCACTCCAAAATTCCAGCCAGTCATCGTTGCTCCGACTCAACTTGTACCTGTTGTTTCTCCCGAATCGAGAGGTACTTGAATTTTGAAATATTTTCATCCGTAAATAAACTTTGACATCAGTTTCAGAACCAAACACTGCCACAGCTGCAATTACGTACCCGTGGACCAATTTGGTCCCCATTCTGCCAGCTGCAACAGCCAACTCGGTGCTCGTGAAGCCTCCCGTTGCCAATCAGCAAAATAATAATGTCGTAAATAATAATGTAAATAGCAAGGCTGCACATGCAGAAACAAGGCCTCCAGCTGCACCACCTAGTAAACCAGAGGTTTGTCGATGTTTTTTTAAACCTTCCAAACCTTCCAAACTATTCATTCTATTTTTGTTTATATTTAGCTGCAACGCAAAAACTCGACCATCGATGAGAAAATGGATTTGGATATTGCCACTGCTGTGGATTTGGATGATGATGTTTTCGAACCAGAACCCAGTTGCAGCAAAGATGAGCAGTCTGCTAGCGACAAACGACGATCTCAGAGTCTCTCTTCACTGCCGAAAGAACCTCAAAGCCCCATGAAGGTAAATTTTTAAAATTGAAATAATAATTAAATATAAATTAACTTTTTTTTAAACTAGGGTGGCAAGGAGAGAATTCGACGTCCAATGAATGCTTTCATGATATTCAGCAAGAGACACCGAGCACTGGTGCACCAGCGGCATCCGAATCAGGATAATAGAACTGTTAGCAAGATTTTAGGAGAATGGTGGTATGCTCTGGGACCTGAAGAGAAGATGCAATATCATGAGTTGGCTTCTGAGGTCAGTTAATTTTCCTTGGTTTTTTGTTTCGCAGTGCATTAAAATCTGTCGCTTCAGGTGAAAGAAGCTCACTTCAAAGCACATCCCGAGTGGAAGTGGTGTTCGAAGGACAGGAGGAAAAGCTCCTCTGGCAAGAATGATCTCAGTCAACCTAGCACACCCAAGGAACCCCTGTCCAAAGATGGCGAAGATGCAAAAGAGGGTTCCATGATAGACCTCAAATGTGCAGAAAATGTCAACTCGGATTCCGAATCGGAGAACGAAACGCTCATCGAAAATAAAGTTTTCCCTCAGCAAAGGTATTTTGGATGTGAAATTTTTCTTTGAAAATGCTAATAGGAGTTTAAGATTCAGTCCGGTTGCGCCAAACAACGGGAAGTCAGCAGGAATAGGCCCCAGTGCTTTATCCAAGCACCCACCGCCTTCGAGCAACGAGCCTCAACAGCATATGCAAGTTTCGCTTCTTAAGAGTCAGGCACATTCACAACATGCAGGAGGAGATGCCAAGAAAGAGTCAGTTGCTCAGTCACCCAGCTCTCTCAGCGACAGCTCAACCACCTGCAGACCGAAGCCAATTAAAATGAGGTATTTTTACTTGAAAATGTGCCTTGTCTATTATATTGTTTTGTCGCCGTGGTTTTGTTTAAAATTGTTTGTGTTTTTATTGTTTTCTTATAATTTTTTTGTTTCGTTCTGTTTCCTTTTCCAAAGCAGTTTACTCCTACCTCACAGATTGCCTTCCGACAGCTCAAGCCCAACGTACAGTCCCTTCAGTCCAACGATGATGCCGCAGCCGTCGCCCTCTCCCCACAAATTCCCCTACTCGCCGCAGAACCCAGCTGGGATTTCCAAATTCCAGCCCACTGGTGGTGCTTTCCTGCCGACGAGTCCCAAGGTCAAGACGCAGATGCAGGCCAGATCTTTTGGCCAACAACAACAACAGCAGCAGCACCAGCAACACCAAGGAACAGTCACTTTTGTCAACCTGCTGGTGAAACCAATGACTCCGGCTTCGTCGGTGGCAAGTTCTGGAAGCCACAGTGTGGTTTACAGTCTTGCTGCTCCGACAACTGCGCCCAGCTCGACATCGCAAACCGTTATTGTGACCAAAAGTTTGCCGTCGCCTGCTCCTAGTTTACCTCAGAAGCAAACACAGGAGGTAAGTTTTGCTTTACTTAATATTACAGAATCCATTAAATTCTCCGTTTCTTATATTTAAAATGTAATTATTTAAACAAATTTACTTTCAGGTCAAGCCTGCAAAAGCAGAGTCTGAGACTAATGAAAATGGACAGCAATTCGTTTTGGCTCCCACACCAGCCCAGCTTGGAAAAGCTCCTCTTCAGAGGCGTAAAGGTATTGAAAAAAAAGATCTCTTTAACTTATTCTTTCTAAATTTCTATTGTGTAGCTTCAACCGCGTCAGAGGGCTCGTGCAGCAACCAGGGTCCTTTGTCAGGCGGCGGCCCATATTCGGACGGCCAAGACAGGGAGCAAGGCCCTGCCAGCCCGAGTGGCTCGACAGGCTCGGTGCCAGTTTCTCCCGCAAGTAAAAAGAGCTTCTTCAAGAAGAACGTCGAGGACGGAATGGACAGGGTGCTTGAAACTGTAAATTTTGAAGCAAAATTTTCGTCACTACCACAATTTAAACCCAGCGAAAAGCAGTCGCCCAGTAATATACCCAACACAAGTCCCAGAGTGTTTGTTCAGGTAAATTTTAAATATATTTCAAACAAATTTAACTAATTTTTCTTTTCATTCAGAGTTACCGAAAGAAGTCGTTGGCTGAGGAGAGGGAGGAGGCTGGCCTACCTCCTCAACACCAGCCACCAATTTCTCAGGCCAGCATGATGGAACCACTGCCACCACCACCTCCTTCTGCCAACTCGGAAAACTTAGGAACTGGCAATTCTATGCCATCTGCTCGCTTAGTCGGGCACACTTTCTTTCCGCCAGATTTTAATCCTGAGAATCCATTCAGAGGTAAAATTTTATTTTTAACTCCAATTGTTATCACCAATAAATTCACATTACAGAAGAAGATGCAGTGGCTGCCAGTCCTCGAACGCCAAAGACGCCGAGAACTGCCACTGGTCCGCCAAACTCTGCCGCCAGTTCTGAGTCCGGAGATCGAGGCCATCGACGAACTCTCGAGCAGAGGAGGACTCTGGTCATGGAGCTTTTCCAACTGCACGGTTTCTTCCCATCTGCCGAAGCAACTTCTAATTTTCAAGTAATTTATTTCAATTTTAATTCACGCCAGTATTTGGAACAAAAAATTTTTCATCAGGCGGAACACTCGGACATCTTCCCGAACAAAGCAAGCTTGCAGTTGAAAATACGAGAGGTGCGGCAAAAGCTGAAGGCGAATCAGAACATCATGACCCCGAACACGCCGAGCAGTCCAGCAATTAATCAGAGTGAGTTGCGAGTCGCATTCTTTTGATTTGTCATTTCTCTTCACCAAATGAAGCTTTTTGCTTTGCAGCAAACTCTACGCCCACATCAAGTAGCTAAGACGGCACACCTAGTGACTACGTAGGCTTCTTGGTTACGCATGACTTTATTTTTACCCCCGGCATTAATTGCTGCAACTAAATTAAGAATATTGGATGGAAGTCTCTTTCCTAGAAGTAAAGGTCAGAAGATGCATATTTTGGTCAAGTTCTGAGACGGTGTTGAGGTCGTGAATTGAAATTTATCAGACCTTTTGAAATTAACCTCAAATTGAGATTCGACAAAAAATAACTCTATTTTCGATTTGTATCACTGAAATCGATCCGATTAGCACAAATTCTATTGAGAAATGTACTTTTATCTGAGGCCAGTACTTAAATTTTCACTTACTGGCAGCATCGTATCAAGCAATTGGTTCCTTATTATGACACCGTTTTGAAGTTTGCGAGAAATGATCAGTGTCAAAAGGATTTTGACTCGAGTTACCTTTCATTTCTGCTGCATCTAGCATGCGAATTTTACTGTTTTGCCAACTGGAAAACTTTTTATCGATTATTCCCAGCTTGTATTCAAAAGAAGAAAATTGTAATTTTGCAATTAGCGTGCTTCCTGTTTAAAGAAAAACTATTAATTTAGTGATTACTCGTTAAGGTGACGGTATTATTACAACATTATTAATTAATTTTACGTTGCACTGATAAATTAATGTAAATAAGACGGGGAGGAATTGAGATGAAATCGGGACGCCCACAAATTTGTAGCATTTAAGCCAAATTTAAAAAATCAACTGAATGTTGTAGTGGCAATGAACGTGATAAGCAGAGAAAAGTGCAAGGAAGGGACGATTTTAAAAAGCGAGATGGGTAGGAAACACAATTTAAATAGATGGAGTTCTTGTTAATTAAGGCAAAAACGAAATAATGTAGTTGCGAGAGTAGTCGTTCTATCAATCGATCCACATTCACCGTACAATTTCCGATTCTCAATTTATTGAAATGCCTTTCTCCTGTAGTTGCAAAAGTGGCAATTCCAATCACGAAGGGATGCGAATTTTAGTTCGCTAAATTCGCATCCCGAATCTGCTTGCTCATTCACACATTGACAAATTATTCATGCCAATCATGTAGCAATAATTAAAACGAAAACACAGCGAATCGTTGACGGAATCATACTCGCTGACCTCCTCAGTCCTGCTGAGGGAGCTTTTGCAACGCACTTCTTCTGGCAAAACGTGAATGTTTTTTCAATCATAGGTGTTTCTCTTTACGCGCGCATTGTCGAATGTCAGAGGTCCGATGTGACGCTCGGCTCGGAATGACCCAAATTTTTAAGAGTGATTTTGGAAGACTGATGGTCTTGGTCAATTTTTTTAGGCCCGAAATTTTACCCTAATTATTTTTTATACGTTTATTTCTGTTCTTTTAAATTTTAAAGGGAACTAAAATTATGCTCGTTTTAGTACTTAATTTTTATTTAAATTTTTTAATTTCATTCCCTCTTTTGATCGAGCCGAAAAGAGCGTCGGACCCATTGTTCGATGTTGATCATTTTTTTTGTACATATAAAACAATTTTATTGTTTCCCGTGCATGTCGTCACACAGTCGGAGAGGAACGAAGCGAGAAATTGTGTGTGTATTGAATTGTACAAGCAGCCCTCCATTTATGAACAAAGATTATGCCCGAGCCGAGGCCGCTTTCCGCACCGACCCTAGCGACAAATTGACCACTTAAGACTGCGAAAATCGACACTTGCTTTAATTCTTTCGAGACACGACCTGTTCTAAAATTAGTTTTCCCGCGCCATTCGGGGCGGGACACACGTTTTAAGCAACTTTTAGGCCTTGTCTTTGGAGCTCAAAAATACATAACCACGTGCCAGGTCAGGTGCCGGTGCGGAAAGTGCCCTCGACGTTGACCCCTTTTAAAAAAAAAAATCACGTGAAAATATACATTTATTGTAAAGAAAAAAAAATGGATCTTTATTCGAGCAGTTCGAATTGTCTGGAACACGATGTACAAGCACCAATAATTATTAATTCTTATTGTATGATTACGAACGTACCGTACCAATTAGGAATGCGACAATTGCCTTAAGAGTAACAAAAAAGAAGAAAAAAAAAATATTCAGAAAACGTTCGAATAAATAAGCAGTAGAAGTCCCGCTCTGAATAAATTAAAAATAGTCGTTCGTCACCGCCGCCACCACTGCAAAGTTAATTAATTAAGATGGAGCATTTTTCCTTCTTGTTCTTCTCTCTGTGTATAAGATAAATGAAACGAAAAATATATATTATGCATATTGCAGACGTAGCTAAAGAAAAGAATATTAAAAGTCAACGACGAAATGTAGAAGGGTTAAAAAAGAAAATTACGAATAGTTTCTGCGTTGACACTGTTTTCACATCATGCAATTCATGTCACACGAATTTCTTACTTTGGTTGATTTTTTGTTGTTCCATTTTTGCAATGAATGCCAATTCTTTTATGTGTATTATTGAATATATAATTTATATATATATTGTCCATTGTTTCTCTTGTTCTCTCTCTCACTCACTAATTTTTGTTATCTCTTCTGACGAAGCTATTATTCGTTGTGTACTAATAAACAGAGACAGAGAATAATATTTGCTATAATAGTGTTTGGTAAAAAAGTTTAATAAAGACAATCTAACTCAAAAAGGCAAGAAATGATTTTTATTTCCACTTGTCAATACATTTTTTATTATAGAAATGAAGAGATCGAGCTTTACCTCGATCGTTGCAGGAATTGTTTTTATTCAAAAATAAAAAATTGTTCATTGGTTTTTTTTTTCAATTTTGCACTAATTTTTTTTGTACATTTTGCTCATGAAATTAAGTCGCAGATCGTGACCAAAACTGGTACAGCAATTTAATTTTGAATAAAAAAAAAACAATTTTCGCAAGTGTTAATTTCTTCAAATAAATTATTTTATTATAGAAAATAATTTAAAATTAATTCAAATGTTTCCAAAACGGTGAAAAAAACTTTCTGATTCACATCAATTTATAAGAGCAGATGTGAAATCTGTTGGAAAATGAGAGGATTAGTTACAGATTGAAACGGAGGCTTGTGTCAAGTCCTACATAAATGAAAGGGTGGCGCCTAACGAGCCGTGAAGGAGCACAAGCCTGCAAAAATGATCATCGAACATCCTGGCCGGCAGTTTAATTAGAAATTAACGCCTGCCGCATTGACCGGCAAATGAATTGCGCGAGGCGCCACTACTATTATTACTCGACTCTCAAGCGAGCGCTAATTAACGACGTGCCTCTGTGGGATTTAAGTCTGCACCATTTATCTTGCGCGGCCCAGAGCCGAAACGGTCCAGCTACGCTTATTCTAGCGGGTGATCTTGCAGACTGCCGTGATTACTTTGGGGATGAAATTTATTCACCGTAGGCAATTATATCATTAATTTTGGCCTAAAAAGAATTTAAAAGAAAAATGGTGAAATTCATCATTGCGCCTTCAAAAAATAGTTTAAAATCAATGCAAAATTATTTATATTTATTTACAAATAAATTATTTGTAAACTATAAATTTAGAATTTAATTATTAAATTTAAATATTCTTGTCTAGACAGAAAAAAAATGTTAATAAGTAATAAATTATTTAATATCACATTTAAAAACATATTGAGATATTGAAAATTAAAATATAATTTTAATGTAAAAAATCATGAACACTTATAATATTTAAAAAAAAAGATAATTTATTATAATTATTTTATTACAACCATCAGCGTTTAAAATCTCTTTATTAGAAGGATTAGAAGTGCTTGTTAATTTCGAAGTTAAATTAAACAGGATTTTTCATCTTTTTGATTATTTTTTGTACTCATTTTTGATAAATTTATTATTGGTTAATACTTAACACAGTTTTTACAATTAGACAGTTAAATAAAATAAACGATCGAAATTTTATTACAACACAAGGAATTATTTCCTCAAAATATGATAATTTTTTTTAGCTACAATTTAAATTAGCTTTAGATCTCTTGTGTAATTTACTTATTAATATTTATAAACTTTTAATATATTTTTTCTTTCTTTCTTATTTTGCCATTTGTGCCAAAATAAATAAGTTTAAAAAGCATGATTTTCCAATGAATTAAAACACAAGTTGGTTTTTGTCCTAAATAATTTTATTGAATTATACTCGTAGTACATAATTACACAATCATCCCGATACGTTTGCCTTGTTAGTCAATGTTTACGTATTACAATTAATATTCTCGTTTTGTAATTAATGTAATTCATATTTTTTTAATAATATTCTGACCTTACTTAGCGTGATGTGGGTATTGATATAATAACAATATCTCTTGATAATTTTTGCGCATATGTTCGTGCGAGACTTTTCATATAATTTTTTTTTATACAATTGTATGTGTGTATAACTTTTTCTAGTATAATATTCTTTCCATCCAGGATATTAATTTTTTTCTCTCTCTCCCGCTAATAATAATATAACGTGTCGTATTCTAGAGCTTAAAATTAAATTTACACACTCTCTATGTTCACGATGCGTTCCAAAAATCGGCCATCCTGAATTAATTATCGGTTCGCCGCGAATTATTAATGTAGTGCACCCTGTTGTGCCGCTGAACAACATCGAGGGCACTCGACCGACGGGCCTGATGTTTTTATTCAACCGGCGCGTGCAGCTCTTCGAATGTAAATCATCGTGACGAGAGAGCAAATCACATAAATTTATTACATACTGGAGTACATTTTTGGGCGTTATTTTTTAATAAAAAAATTCGCTTCGTTGTGAATTAACGTTTTTATCGCATTGATTTTGCACAGCACCAAAACTGAAAATGTTATGCAATCCAATTTTATTCAAACTTGAATCCAAAGTTAATTAGGAGATCAGATTTGGAGGAATATTTTTAAGTATGTGTTGCTTACTGAGATTTCCAGTTTGCGTTGTCCTAGCTCGTATAATATTGCGCTTACAGGTTAACACATAATGATATAGTGGCTCAAAATCGATTTAATAAAATTATTCCTAACTCGAACAAATCGTTTTGATTCATCTTGGGGGTTTCGGGGTTTGCGCAATTGGCTCTCGGAGTCAAAATATCAACTGGGGAGAAGATTTTTTTTTCGCATCGAATTTTGATAAAAGCGCAGGATCTTTGGGGGCCGAACTGAAAATATATATAACGTTCAAAAATCGTCTCCCGGCGTCACATTTTTCTTCTCCAAAAGCCAGCGCTCGTATGTAATATTTCTCTTAAAAGTTAATTAAGCTTAAATATTGGTTCCTTATCAATCAAAGAGGAAATCACAGAAAATATGTTCAGAGTGTAGAATTAGAGTTTGAAAAACTGCTTCTATTTTGAGAGAAAATCTCTATTTAGAACCCAACAAGCCGAGCCGCTTCTGTTTTGATTATACAAATGTGCACTTTCTCTCTCTTTCACCGAACTCAACAATTTTTCGCACTTTTCCCGGCTAGACACATTATTTTTCCTTTAGTTTCTCTCTCTTTTTAATCAGTATTTATAAGTGCATAATAATGTATGTGTTCCATACACACGTTGATTATACAAAGAAGCAGGTACACAAAATAGGTTTCTCGTCGTATCTCAAGTACATCTTAAAAAGTTTGTCTCAGGGTCACTTTTCATGTAGTTTTTAAATACATCTTTTTAATTACATTCTCCTTTTAGTACAACGTGAAAGGTTATTTAGAATCAGTATTGATGTTTCAATTCCTTTTTATATAAATTCACGGTGAAACAAACAAACACGTTTATTCTACACTACAATGTTGGCGAGTATCGAATCATGCGGGACTGTATAATAATCGGTATATAAATGTTTACGGTAATAATTGGTTTGCTGATGGGAGGAACTCTATCAAATGTTCGTCACCATGGTTGATATAATTAATACTTCCTCCATATGTTTGCGTATTCCTCTGTGAAATAGTGAGTTTAAGAAGAAGTGTGAAATATTGAGAAATAAGCCTGAAATCGAGCTCGTCTATTTACAGGGTTTTCGCTCTCAATTATTAAGTTTCTTTTGAGGATTGCAGGTGAATTTATAATTCAAATTAACTTTATTTTTAACAAAACCATAAGAAAATAAATTACAAGCTTTGAGGTTATTTTTTTTTATAAGCCCAGTGTGGACGTCGCTTCCAGCGTTTTGAAAATTCGGGCTCAGGAAAGTGCCTTGCAGCAACTTGCACCTTGAGATAAAATCTTTGAAAGCGACATCCGCACCCTTCTTCGCTTTGCCATATCAATTGATCAAAATCTTCTGCGAGGAAAATAATTCCGCCTTTGCCGACGAGAAGAGAAAGTTTCTCGCGCCCGCACCGCCGCGTGTTCTATGCAAACACAGACAAACCGAATACATTTTCACTGCCATTGTTCCTCAACAATGGTGCAGGGTGTGTACATTTACATTTTCCGGCCAAGCAACTTTGCTGACAAACGTGCAAATGACGTCAGCACGCAGGCTGCTACGTATTGATTAATTAATCGAGCGCAGTTTACGCCGTCGATGCGCTAATAATCGCGAAATATGTAATAATAACCTCCGCACATCCCCTCTGGCCCGTGACATTTTTTTACCGTCAGAAGCACAAAAAAAAAAAAGTGACGATTTTTGTGCGCGAGACCCAATTAAAATTAACGCGGCAGAAAAGAGAGTTGGTCCGAATAGGGGCGCCGCGCAAACAAACATCAAACGCTTTTGAATCCCGCGAGTTGGAGAGAGAATGGGAAATTTTCACCGATAATTATTGTTTTCCGAAGAGGGTCTCTGCTGCATGACTCCGGGAATACGCACTTTTTCCATTGTCATGTGAAAAAAAAAATTAACGGCAGACTTTTTCAATTCATTTATTTCTGGTAAAAGTTTTTGCCACTTTTTTATTGATTGCAAAATGGTCTGTACTTTTTTATATTCTATTTGAAATTTTGTTTGCAATCATTTCCATTAGCAAAGGTTGACCTCAGCAAGTTCAAAAGTTTAATAAAAACGCAACAATATTTTTACGGATTCACTTCTAAAATCACATCAGATCAAATTGATTTATGCAACCTGCTCTACAGACGTGTCCGGCATGTTGCATTTTAATTAAAAATTACATTTCTAAGTGTTTTTAATGTGGAAAATGCTTGCTATAATAAATAAAATAAAATTTAAATTTTCGAAATTGTGCAAACACGAATTTAATGTGATTTCGTGCGCCATTAGCTGATCTGCAACGTGTTAATTGCGCTGTTGCGAGGACCGATTAGGCATGATGTGCTAATCTAATGTTCGTGTCTTGCCGAGCGGTAGTTCTGTTGATGAAACTAATCTGAATCCACCTGGCCGCGAGCACACACATGTATGTAGTCACAACGACGAAACTAATGCTTTTGCCGGCGGCGCAATCGCGCGCTCATCTGCAATAATTAGTCTGCTGATAGATAGCCATCATTAATTAGCGTTTTGTGACGTGCCCGTCAGATTAAACGTTCGCAATTTGCAGATTGAAAATAAAAACTGCCAAAGGCTCTGTGATTTCGCTCCAGTAATAATTGTTCGGCGTTCAAAGTAATAAAAAAATTATCAAATTCCACTCTCTCGGATAGTTAAAGGTTAAATTATGCGAGACGAGCTAACAACTTTCAGAACCGTTATCATTTCCGCCAGAAAATCGCTGCTGCTCTCTTTTAACGGCTCCAGTGAAAATTCCACCCCGAGTGTAGAGAGAAAGAAGAAGGGGCAGCAAATAAAACTCCCATATCGCCAAAGGGTGAAAAGTTTGCTGCCAGCATCAATCAAAGTTTTCCGCCCTAATGATCTGGCAGATCAGCGCGGCCACAGGTTTCGGGTCAGCCGAGGGTCCCAAACGGCGCCTCGGATGCAACTTTGGCCGAATCCGTGGGGAGGAGCTGCCTGCAGTTGCCGCTCGACCCCAACGGAGCCTCGACCGCGCTCCTCCCTAATTTGAACCGAAAAAGGTCAAAGAGTGGCAAATAGTGGGCTGGAAATTTCGTTTCGCTCCGTTAATTACTACGCAGGAAGGGAAAGATTTTAAAAGTACCTCTACCTTAACAGGTGCAGGCGAGATAATTATCTACATTATTTAATTCAGATTTTATTTTATACATTTTAAAAGATTTCATATAGATTAAAGATTTGTCAGAACGTGAAATAATTTTTTTGTATTTATTAATTTTGAAGAATTAAAGCAAATTATGAATACAATAAAAAAAAATTTTTTTATTGTTCCATCATCAATTTCACTTACTTTTTGCCTCTGAGAGTAATAATTCATTTCAACGCGTTCATTATTCAAAAATTCAACTGCGACTTGCAAGCGTAGATCATAAACTTTCCACGTTCCCCGAGCTCTGGCCATTCCTAGCTTTTTCCAAATAAATAAATCACCGAGGAAAACTAGATGCCATGCATCACTTCGAGGGTTGCAAAAAAATTTATGTCCGCTAGAAGGAGAAAAAACACCAGTTTTGAAACAATCTCTCCGGCCTGCCGTGAAACTGAAAAATGCACGACTAGAATGGAGAATCGATAAAAGCGCTCGCGGAATAAAATTTGCGCACGACATGTCGTCCCTTTTTTCCTGCGAATAGACGCGCACTGATGCCATTTTTCAGCGATGAAAAATACGAGAACGGAATTGCCTGCTCTGCTCTTATAAAGCAGTGCGCGCGCGTGCAATAAAAATGAACACCATTATTAGCGAAGAGCGGGCGGTCGGGCAATTTTTTCACGAACCGTTGTATTTACATATTAACGCAATGAATGCGAGGCGCAGTAGTGCCTTTCCGCGTCGCCATTGTTTCTCTACAAAAGCAGCTTCCATTGTCCGCCGAATTATTTCATACGCTTTTCCAGTTAATGGCTCTCGGGAAGGAGAGGGAAAGAGCGAGTGCCGCGGATTTGCGAAATTCAGATGACGTCAGGTGTTTGCTTTTGTTTGAAAGGACTGAGAGTTCACAACGGGCCTGTGCTTTCAGATAATGCAAGAAGCTCTTTTAATTATTTTGAGAATCGGAATTCGGTCAAAGGTATTTGAAATTCGTAGACTTTGAGAAAAACTGAGGAACTCGCAATCAGAAAATGTTTACAGAGATCAGATTTTCACCAATTTCTACTTGGAAATATCGTTTGAAACCCTCATTTTGAGTGATATTAACAGATTTATTTCATAGATTCACTTAAACCATATTGAAAATTCTTTCAAAAAACCACGTGAAATCCTAATTACATGGATAAATGCATCTGCGCATGCGCAAAGTCAAATCCCGTTTCAAAACTGCGCATGCGCCAACCGACTTTCACGGAAATTGAAATATTTACAAAGACACCGCTTTCTCCGGTACGAACGCTAACGATTGATTACATAGCACTAACTTTAGGTCAGATTGTGCACACACACGAGACAAATCTCACAAAGACAGTCCTGCCAGCCGACGAGAGTGTCAAGGAACACGCGACGGTGATTTTCGTTTTTTTTTATTTCTATATAGATCCGACGTTCGTTCTTTCGTAGCAAAATCTCGTTTTCTTTTTTTGGTACGTGCGCAAGAGAAATATAAATGTTATATTTTTCGTCAGAGAGAAGAATTCGAAGCGATGAGAAGTAAGAGTTGTTGACGTGTTTCCGCGCCAGTGGCCTTAATTCTAAAGATTTGCGTCGGTAGTGAATAAGTACAGCGTGATTAAAACCCGTTGTCGAGGACACTCTTTACTCTCTGACGAATACAAACTCATTGTAGTGGTTCCACTTGTTCTCCTCGGCATCCATGCCAGGCTTCAATGGCTCGTTGAGAGCACCTGCTGTCCCCGATCCGCAGCTCGCAACACATCTGCAACAAAAAGCACAAACATGCAGTTTCAGGTCACGAGAGAAGAACACAGCACAGCACACAAAAGCCGGCGTCGATTGCATTATTTACCGCGTCGCTCAATAATGGACGAACCGCCCGCGGCCGGACCCGAGTGCCCACCGAGAGGTCGGACTGCCCATTCAATTCCCCTAATGGAGGGCGATGAAATATTAAATTCATCGCCAAGTATTCCCAGCATTTAATTCTTTCGCCCTTTTGTCAAGAGAGGAAGGAGAGCTGGAGCGGTTCGGGTGGAAAGTTTCGAGTTAGGCAGGCCCAACTTTAAACTGCTTAAGCACCGTCGAAACTTTTCCTCGCAGCTCCGAAATAAGTACACCGACGAAAGGGAACATAGATGTCTGCGTTTTTCCACTTCCCTCAGGTGTTTGTTTACCTCCACCAGCTTTCTCTTCTAAAAACTTTTACGTGTAAATTCCCAAAGTTGAAGCGCATTAATTCTAAAAAAGGCGAGTGCTGGGAACGCCTTGAATCAATATTCTGATTGAAAAAACGATTCCTTGGGATATTTGTATTTATTTAAAGGGGGGATTGCAATCAATATTCTGGATCGATTTCCTGGGAATAATTGAGTATATTCGTTTTATTATTGAAGTGATTCAGCCCCTAAATAATTTTATTTTTTCAATCCCAGATAAAGTTCTAAAAACAGCAAGTGTCCATTATTTAAACTTATTTAATTTATTGATTGCAATTTTCATTTTTTTTTATTTATTTATTGTTAATTTTTCCAAATTATTACATCACAAATAAGCTAAATAAGTAGAATTAAAAATAAATATAAAATAAAAAATATCAAAAAATTAAAATAAAAAAACTAGAAATATTTAATAACAATTATAAAAAAGGATAAATATAGAATAATAAATAATGTTTTTTAATATCATTAAAAAAAACAATATAATTACTCTATTGCCGCAGTCATTTTTGGAATGTTTTGGTTTTAAATTGCATTTTTAGTGCTCAAAAGTTGATTAATATTCAAAACCATCGATTTGCTCTCGCTAGGAAATGTAATTTCAGTCCATTAGTTACGAAAACTCATTTGAGCTGGAAACGCAAATTCCGCTGCCGCTAAATCAACTTTCAGCGCCGCGAAATAACAATTTAGTTAGTCTCTGTATCTAAACTAATTATTCATCTGATGTATGCGAATGCAATTACTTCTTGACGTGAGTGGAAAGTTTATTTTGCACGCGACCATCCGCCCTGGCTACGAAGTCTCGACAAAGTTATAAACTTTGCAGAAAAGCTCAGTGGAAGATTTGGAATTCGCGTTCAATTACACACTGCAAGGCAGCAAGCTAATTATCTCCATTATTTTCCTCTTACGCTGGGTATAGAAAAGCGAGAGCCGCAAACTTGAGCTTGAGTACCACACGCGTTCCCGCGGGAGCAAAGTTGGGTTTCTTGCATGGTTGGCTTTACTTGCGCAGGTGAATGTTTGAACGGTATTTACCCATTTACCCTCGTCACAAACTCTAAACAATTCCAAGAATCGTTAATTATTATGCACGAAAACTAATTTCCGCATGAAATTACCTGACTTTGCTAGTTTTAAGATTTTGATTTTTATGTTAAAATGAGGTGGTTTTCAATATTGCTGATTTTTTGCATTTTTTGCTGATGAAATAGGGTCACAGACCGTGACCGAAACTGGAAGAGCCGTTTTGGTTTTGAATAAAAACAATTTTTCAACGATAAAAAGCCCGATTTCCATGAAAAATAAATTTTGATAAATTTTGATGTAGCAAGAAGCTGGATGTAAATTTACTGGCATTGGTAAGCAATTTGTAAATCCTTGTTTTGAAGTCGCAAATTTTCGTTTTAATTCATCAAATTTATGCTTAGAAAATATTTATTTTCTTCATCAGTTTTCTGCTAGATTCTGGTTTGGATAAGAACAAGTTTGTCCAAAAGAATCTTCAAGCGCAAAAAGCAGATTCCTTATCTCACAGACTCATCATTCTCCGCAGCACGAAAATTTCCCATCGCCTGACTTTCCGACTGAATTTTCTCATTAAAATTGCCCATGCTCGACGCTTCGTATCTTTTTTTACACTTTTTCCACCGCACCTGCCAATTTCTCCCCCGCTGGTTTGACAGCAAAAAATCAAGCTTGGCACGCGCATCGCAATTTCGACAAAGAAAAAGCCTCGCCCGGCCAACCACAAGCGACGCTCGTCTGCGAAAGTTTCGGTGAAAGAACAAAAAAAAAGGGTAAAGCTCCGAACTCGCTTCTTTCGCAGAGAGTTTATTTATCTTGCAGCACGAAAATGGCGACTGTTTTATTTGCGCATTTGCATCAGCATGAATTATCGTAGAAATGTTAGCGAGGCTCAATAAAATTGCACTGTACAGCGAGTTCCTTATCCTCAGCGAGAAGCGGAGTTGTTGAATTATTTAAATTTTATTCAACTGCTTTTAGCTCGGCCGGGACGAAAAAGCCTCGCTAACTGCTATTCCATCTCTCTCTGCTGCTGTTAATTACAATTTTATCAGCGAGGGAGCCGCTCGGAAAAACAACACGCGCTCGCTAAAGAGCATTAATTGGACGGGCGCTGCTTCTTTTTCCCTTCTCGACCGGACGACAATTGTCGCTGTTTTGATAAAACACATTGATTAACAACGGAGACGAAAACTTTTCCCTCCTTTTTATCTTTTTCTCTGATAAAAAGAAGTGCTTTTATTTCCTCCTCCTTCTCTCTGCAGCCAGATCGATGTCAATTAATAATATAACAAGGTCAGAGGTCGTGTCAGTCAGCCTCGGCAGAATATTGGATTTCAACAACTCGACGTGCCCAACCACTCGCTTGTCAGATTCTCTCCCGACCAAGTTTTCCGCCGAGATAGATATCGCTGTGTTTCGGTGCATTCGAGATAAACTTCTCTCTTGGCAGCAGACGGACTCGGAATTATTATCATTACTGCTAACAATGCCCGTGGGAATTGGGAGAACGGCCGCGGTTTTGTGTCGATCTCGCGAGCGAACGAACGAACGCAATCTGTGCCAAGTAACAAGTCGCTCTCGCGGCACCAATCTGGCACATTTCCACACATCTTATTTCATCCTTTCATTCTTTTGTTAAGATTTTTTCTAAGCAATTATTTAAATTAAAGCCCAGTTTAAAAAAAAATTTGATTTTTGAAATAAGATAAAATTTTTCTTTAAGAAAAATTTAGTTTAATGAACTTAAAATTTGTGTTCATTATTCTAGAATCTTATATTGCATTTTTGCAAATTTTCATTTTCTTTTCCAAGGCAAAATTATGTAAATATTCAGATACGCTTTCTACAAAATGCATTTCATTTTAATTTCGTGTATTGTCTTGATGTATAATAAGATGTTGTATATTCAAATATAAAAAATAAAGAAATATATAAACAAATAGATGAAATAAAATATTATATTAATAAATAGATAAATAAATAAAAATTTTTTAACTATTAAATAGAATGTTAATAAAATTATTCTTTTATAATTTTGTTTTGTTAAAATTGTTATTTTAAATAAACTTATTGTTTCACTTTTAAAAATTAAGTACAATCAAGTTAAAATTTTGAAAAATTCTTGGAACTCGGTTCTTTTAGCTTCATCATTGTAGCGAATAATATTTATTTATAAAATTAAAACGCCTCAGTAAAACACTTTCAGCGATGAATAAAAAATATTTAAATATTTTCTTCGATTTTATCTGTAAATTGTTTTTTAATTTGAGATTTTGTTTGATTATATCTTGTTATGGGCAGTAATAAAATATTAAAAACATAATTTGACAGGAAAATTATTAACATTTTTGTATGACTAATGTCAACAATAGGAAATGCGGAATAGTTATTTGAATAATACTGATTATGTGATAAATCCTCTTTGAAAACAATTAAATCATGATAGGTGTTAAAAGATTTCATTATTTTTAGCCTTTAAATGATAAAAAAAATCAAACACCTTTTGAATTTGAATTTAAGACAAATAATTGTTTGAATTTTTTATATGGAATTTTATTGATCATTCCAAAATTACGTTTATTTATATTTTCCTGCAAAAAAAATCTTCTGATCTCCCTGCCTGTCACTTTAGCCTGAAAGTTAAAGTGGAAATGTGCAAACTTGGCTCTTTCCTGTCACCCCGCAACGGTAAAAGCGGCAGATCGGCTTTAATTTTAATAATCTGCGTCGATCCCATAAACCAACCGGTGCGTAAACACACGCGAGAGAGCCGAATCCGCTGCGGAGGTGGTTTTTTTTTTGTGCCTTTCCTCCTCACACATGTCGTAATTTCGCGGAGGCAGAAAGAAAAATTTATTAAAAATGCAGCGAACCGAGGCCGCTGCCATCCGCGAGAGCACAATAAAATAAATAAATAAAGCGGCGCCGCCGCCCGGAGATGAAAAAATAAGGGATGGAATCGAGGAGTGACGTCATCGGCGTTATGCACCGTGCCGAGCACACATGCTGTGCGGAGCAGTATCGCAGGCGTTATTGTTTGCTCGACAACGACCAACAACAACTGCCGCCAAGTGAGAACGAGCAACAAATAATAAAGCTGCTCTGCCGTTCATATACAGACGTCACTTTTGAGGTTAATCGCGACGGGCATCTCGCGAAATTGGCCGAGACAGCAGGTGTGGAACGTTCTCTCCGGCGAAGTTGTATCACCTTTCATCAGAACAATAACGTTGTCGAGCTTTGTTAGAAGATCTTGGATTAGTTATTATATTATTAAATAATGTTTATGTACTATTTAAAATAAACTTAAATATAAACATTTTATTTTATTTTAATTTAAATTAATTTTAGTAAATATTTTTTTAAATAATTTAAATTTACTTAACTATATTATGTGATTTATTGCAATAATTGATTGATTTACACAAAAAAACCAAATTATATAAACAACCATAACAGAAAAGTTTGATTATTACAAATTAAATGGTTAATGTTTGCGATGCATGTGTTG